GATTCACAACTCCAGAACTTTGATTCCGTGTTTTTTATGGAACCATTTAAAAACAAATACCAGCCCGTGTGAAAGACGCTTGAAATATATTTCATCCAAGAGATTGTCTGTTGCTTTAGACACATAATTTGTAAAAAGATTCGAAGTAAATTCTGATACACACTTTATCCGTTTTAATTATAATATACTTAGTCGAAATATTCATTATTATGATTCATTTTTCTGGGTATAAAGTACAGGTTTCCTAGAACTCATTTCCATATAATGAAATAAGCAAATTCCTGCCAACATAAACACAACCAATTGCAAGTCAGCGTTTGAATCAATCTCGTTCCCCGAGCCCACGATTCCTCTTGCGAGAAAACAAATCAATTTTGAAATACAAAAAACGGTTACAAACCGGAAGCTAGGATTTCTGGCTTCCGCTTTCGATTATCCCAGAGCCTTTGTTCTCTGGTCAGAGGAATCGCGGGCTCGGGGAACGAGATTGCATTTGAATGGAAGGTTGTCACAAGGTGTGCAAATATAAATGAGTTGCGTCTGCTCATTTGTACCATTCCTCCGGGTCCGGCCCGTATTTTGGCTCTAGTAGGTGGGTGGGTGGTTGTGGGGTAAGCCCAGGCCACTGGGCCAGGCCAAAGATTTCGGAACGAAAGGTAATAAGTCCGGACGGCGGACATTTTCCCGACAAATTTTTCGAACTTTTTTCTCGACTTTTCCGAATATTGGTACAAACGTAGGGGTGCGATCTGTCCACTGAGCTATATAATAATTTAGGACTTGTTATATAGCTCAGTGGATCTGACTCGTCCCAGTCGCAATTCGATAATGGCGCGTCGACGCGCGGAGAGTAATAGGGCGCGGAGGGTAATGGGACGGCGAAGGAAGAATAAGCTTATTTTTATTTTATTCGCCTTCCCAAGATGCCTAGTCACTGATCTATAAATATCACTATATCACTATCCACTGATCTATAAATGTCCAGGGACTAATCGGTTGGTTACTTTGCCACTTTGGTTAAAATATTTCAAGCAACTATATAAATACAGACATCTTCAAGAACGAACACTGTATTTATATTCAGTCTATATTACAGCGAGGTTTATACCACAGAGCGACAAACAACACAGAACTTGCTTTATAAAAGGACACCGTGAAATACAGTAATAACAGTATGGATTCTACGATGCCAAGCGAAGTAAGTGAATGCCAATCATGCGAAGAAATTGGGAAAACACTGGCAGATATGGAGACGAAAATGGAACAAGATACCGCAGAAGTGGAAGGAAAAATCAAGAAAGTTAACAACGAAGTCAGAGAATTGAGACACGCTTTAAATGAAGCGATGGAAGTGAAAATTAGACCAAGTTGTCATAAGGAAAATATAATTGTTGCTGGAGGTGTACGAACTGACTCTGTAGAGATGTTTAACTGGCATCAAAGAACATGGTCACCATTACAATCAATGCCAAAGTATCGTTGGGGAGCGACTTCATTTATTTATAACAATCATATGACTATAGCTGGGGGAACCTGTGATTGGTCTGACATTGTTGATGATATGATTAGAATCAATATTGACCCAAACCCTGATCTCTCAACACACTGGAGTGACTGTCCTGTTAAACTACCTGATAACTTGAGAAACCACAGCAGTGTGCTGTATAATGATCAGTTGATAATCTCCGGAGGTGATAATGAAAATGGTTCATCTGACTTGATTCAATCAGTCATGGTTGTTCCTCCCTATACTGTGAAGACCTTATCAAGAATGCCAGAACCAAGACAATGTCACAGCATGGAAATATTTGATGATAATTTGTTGATAGTTGGTGGAAGAACAGCTGATAATTGTAAAGACAACCTCAGCAGTGTCGTACTGTACGATATAAAGAAGAATGAGCTGAAACAGTTATTACCACTGCCGTATGAAGTGAGTGATATGGCAACTGTGAGATGGGGAGACAAAATTGTTGTTATTGGTGGTGCTGACAAACATGGCAATGAATTAGATACAGTTATCATTTACAATGTCAAGACAGAACAAAGTCACATGCTGCCATCGATGACATGTAAGAGAAGGGGATGTACTGCAGTTGTTATTGAAAACAACATTGTAGTCCTGGGAGGGTTGGGTGAGGGTTATCGCACCTTGAAATCAGTTGAAGGTTTCAACTTTGAAAGGTATTCTTGGGAAGAACTTCCAGAAATGTCTAAAGTAAGACGGGTGCACACTGCTGTTGTTGTATGAACAATGTAAGAATGTTAATCAAGTTTGTATGTAATTGTTAGATCATGTTACAAAAAATGTCCATTCAGCATCTTTTGTATCTTCAACTATTGATGACATTGAGAGTTCAATATTTTAGATGCACTATTAAGTCCTGTGAATCTGTTGCCCTCCTTTAAATAGTTTTGCATGCCTTAAAGCCTGTTGTCTTTACCATCAATCATCTGTTAAGTTAATAAAAGGAATTTCCATAATTTTTGTTTGGTTTTACATTGCCCTTTTTAAAACCCTTGTTGGGGAGGGAGCATGATCCCCCACCATGCAACTGCTCCTCCCCCACCATGCAACTGCTCCTCCCCCACCATGCAACAAGTCCCCCCACCAAGCAACAAGTCCCCCGACTATGCAACAGGCCCCCTACTATGCAACAGGCCCCCACCATGCAACAGGTCCCCCACCATGCAACTGTTCCCCCTCCAGCACTATGAAATAGTTATGAAATAGATGAAGAAGAAAGTGTGATAAAGATGGGATAAAGGGAAAATGAGTTGGAAAATCTGAGGAGAGTTCATGACTACAACAAGCCTATAATGCTATTAATACTGAAAGACAACATGGAGCTTCATGTGAACACTAATGCATAGATGGTGAAAGAGAGATTAAGCCAGTAGGATGAATGAATTTGAACTATTGAACATTGAGTTACTACTTAGAAAGATGCTAAACTTGTATAGTATTTCATAAGATATAGCAGATAACCTCTAACTTAAAGTATGCTTCTCCTAACAAAACTGCATTGTGTCAACTTAAAATGCTTAGCATCAAATGTGGTATAACAACTGCCTAAAATAGAGAAAACACATCTCGACGTTTCGACCTGAGGGCCTTCGTCAGGAGAGTTAGTACTTTCTCATACTAACTCTCCTGACGAAGGCCCTCAGGTCGAAACGTCGAGAAGTGTTTTGACTATTTTAGGGCGATGTTATACCACATTTGATGCTAAGTTGTTTGAAGACGCTGCAACGCTGCTCCCTCAAGTTATCTTAAAATGCTCAGTTCTACTAATTTTCATTGCAGGTGGAAAGCAAACTAAGGCAGTTATATTCTTAGGGACCATGCTTGTAACATGGTTAATTAGTTTCGAAACAATATAATTCATAACTTTTCATTTAAACATTCTGGTTAAGATGTCAAAAAAAAACACTTAAAAATAAAATATAAACAGAGTACACTACTGACCTTCTTGATATAAAATGTCCAATCTCCTGCTGAAGTATTTTTGGCCTTGGGCAAGACACTGGTGGCTCACAGGAGCAGTCTGCACATTTCCATTAGAAAGACATCCTAGAAAAAAAATTAGTAGGTCACATGACTCACATCTGAGTGCATTGCAAGCTAATGGGTTAACAAATAACAAGAGACACTGACAGATAGTTTTGTTAACTTATTAATTGACAGTATTCTTCCACTGATGAGTAAAATCATCTGGCATTAGACAGAGTAAAATATTAAAGTAGGTCACATCTGGGTGCATTGCAAGCTAATGGGTTAACAAGAGACACTGACAGATAGTTTTGTTAACTTATTAACTGACAGTACTCTTCCACTGATGAGTAAAATCATTTTACATTAGACAGAGTAAAATACTAAAGTAGGTCACATCTGGGTGCATTGCAAGCTAATGGGTTAACAAAAGACACTGAAAGATAGTTTTGTTAACTTATTAACTGACTGTACTCTTCCACTGATGAGTAAAAACAAACTACATCATCTTACTTTTTAATATTGTACGTTCAACTTCAACACATCCACTCTTTTACCATCTTTGAAAATTGTTGTGAGCCAAAAACCATTATCGCCATTGTTCATCGTTCACACTTTGTTTGCTAAATAAGCACTTTGCTTTCTTTGTGGCTGGCGACATGCGACTTCTTCTTGTATTTTGACGGTTTAGTTCGTTTATAAAGCTTTCACTAGCCAGTCTAAACTTTAATACACCTTTCGGTGGAACAAGAACATGTTTGATTGCTTCATAAGGCTTTTAACTTCGATTCCGCTCAGCGATTGTCCTTCCCCTAGGCAACACGTGTAATATATTTCAAGCGTAGGAGACATCGATTTGAAAGGCGTTTATTTCCGAATCTACCGGCTTAAATCGCCGAAAAACCTCTCAAATACTTTGCTCGATACTCGATTTTAAAAGCACGAGCTTAATTCTTTCATAGATGCACAAAATACGCCGAAAGACGTGATAGAAATCTCAGATGTTATCAGCCAAAACGACGACGGCCAAACCCATTGTTACAAACGTGCTTCCCTTTAAATTCAAATTTTCAAAAATGGCGCGAAAGATTTTTCGGTTTCAAATTGCAACAAAAAATGTCTGAAATGTAATGAATTGAGACAATTTTAGTTCGATTTTAATGAATTTCTGCGTTTTTTTAATAAAATAACTCAAAATACAATCAATTTGAAGCGGTATTAATAAAATAATACGACAACTTTTGAACATTTGTACTTTGGCAAATGCCAAGCGCTGCAAAAATTTTGATAAAAATTTGATAGCTTAAAACGTGTCAAACGAAAATACAATTGTTTACCTGGAAATTTCGTTTGTTTTAAGCAGTGATAAGAAACAAAATATAGTTTTAAAGAAGCCTGGCAACCGTGACACCTTTGAGAAATATTTAAAGTTGAATTAGCCACGTTAAAAAGTCGAATTCATTAAACTCGAAATGACATGTAAATTTGTTTATGTGAAAGAAGCCATATGCTTTGAAGTCTCGTTGGTAATACTATAATACGTAGCGAAGACTTTGAACAGACACGAAAACAACAGGACTTTGCAAATAACATAACTTTCTACATAAGACAGTGTCATTTTAAAAATGGTTTTGTTTGCCACGGCGCTTTTTTTGGTCTCAACAATTACAGCAGTGAATTCTCAAATGGAAAATGTGGAAATACAAGACCATTCCCAACAAACGCAAGACGGCGAGTGAGTTTATATTCGCTTCTAACTTCTACCTACATCGCTGTAGATTTATAATTTCCAACTATTGTGTGTGTTTTTAAGGCATCTTGTTGATCATTTGACAGAGTTTGTTGATTTGGGAGGACAAGGTCTTCGGTAAAATGTCACTTTTGAAAGTTTTTAAGTTTTGACAGGACAAAGGTTCGCGGTGACAATGTAATGTAAAGGCCGATTTTCGCTATAGCTGATTTCTGTTTTATTCAGACATATTCAAGAGCATCTAAGCGACAAAAAGGAATTTCCGAAAGACGGACAGTTTGCCGAAGATATTCAAGCTATAGAAAATGGCGATGATACAAAAGGTTTGTGTGATGAAAAGTTTAGAACTGATAGAGCTATCCAGTATAAATAAAGTTAGTTTTTTAGTTTAGGTTTCCTCCTGTAATGACACTGGATCAATAAGAGATGATCCTTATTGGACCTCTAGGAAGAACAGTTTAAAACTGATAGATCTATCCAGTATAAATAAAGTTAGTTTAGTTTAGGTTTCCTCCTGACAGCTGTAGTAACACTGGATCAATAAGAGATGATCCTTACTGGACCTCTAGGAAGAACAGTTTTAAACTAACTGGATTCTTACAAATCCTTAGGGATCTTCTATTTCTTTGAACTTCACGATTTTGACAAAAATAACAAGTTAGATGGCTTAGAACTGCTCGTAGCTCTAACAGACCACCACGAGAAGACGAAGGAAGAAAATGGGAAGGAGTTACTAGAGGTGGAAGTGGAGTCGCTTATTGACAATTTACTGGAGGAACACGACTTGAACAACGATGGATATTTGGATTTTGTTGAGCTTATGAACACTGGCCCCGATTCGCTTTGGAATAAGCTGGGCAAACCTTAAAAAGAGTGACTCAAATTTGTTCACACACTCAGATTTCGTCGGATCCAATTCACTTCTGACGTATGGAATGTAGTCGGTTGTTCGTAAAGCAGAACGGATTGACTTTAGTTGATTTGCCGTCCATATGCATTGCAAGACAACAGACTATAAAACATCCGCCAGAAGTAAATTGGGTTCATCGATTGATCTGACAAAACTGGATTGTATCACCGTCAGACATCGTAAAAATATCGATACGAAACAGTGATACGAAATTGTACCACTGATCTGATAATACACTGGATGACTGTATAACTGAACGAAAATATACTGGATTAATGTAGGACTGATCTGATAATATACTGGATAACTGTACCATTGATCCGATAATATACTGGATGAATGTACCACTGATCTGATAATATACTGGATATATTTTCTATAAAACGAAGCCAGAATTGCTGACAAATTTCAAGAGCCGGAATTAAAAAGAATGAAATTTTCATGTGAAACGATCTTCGAGTTTTTATATATAATACGCGTAAGGCCCGTATTTTGAAATATATTTTAATATTTATTCAACTTCACTCTCTGACCATTGCCATAATTCTTATAAATACGAATTAAACAATACAATATTCACTTTAAAAATATCTATACGATTTATAGAATTGATATACGTACAAAATTTTACAGTATGTAAAGCCACTTCCACGTAAACACACAACACGTGAAAATGGGGCGATATATGGAAAGAAGAGAGCCATTCCATTATGTAAAACCCCTCTCCCCATGGAACACATCCCCAAACCCTTCTCCCTAAGGGAACACGTCCCAAAACCCCTCTTCCCAAGGGAAAACGTCCCAAAACCCCTCTCCCCAAGGGAACACATCCCAAAAACCCCTCTCCCCAAGTGACAAGATGCACCCTGGTATCTGGGAAAAAATCATAGGAATTTTTAGATAAATTTTTTGGCTAAACATTTCCAAGTTACTTTTGAGACATTTTTTTTTATAAATTGGATTATTTCAGGCGCGATTCAGAATGGAATGGTCTCTTTTTTGGAAACAGTGAATAGAATGATAAAGTACGATGGATATATTATGATTCAAATAACATCAGAAATGGGTCTTTTCCCCTCAACAACTTTCCATAACTGACCTTCTTCACCATCTTCATCATCGTCTACGAGGTCTTCTCCAAAAAATCCATTTTTTTCCAAGTTATTTTTCGCTTCGTTTTCTGCCAAGAACATAAATTTCTCCACGTTCGCCCATAATTCCGCATCCTGTTTTGACCCACTGATACCCTTATGGGATCCACTATTATCCCTTGAAACCCCGTCAATGTCACAATATTCACCCTTTAACGTACTATTATTTGTGCTTAAGGTACACTCAGCATCCATCGATGAACCACCAAAATTACTCGAAGAACCTTTTACGCTCCCTGGAGTACTACAATTATCCCTTAATGTACCGCCTGTGTCCACAGATGTGTCATAAGTACCTCGCAATTTACTATCGGCATCCCTTGGGGTATCATGAATGTTCCTTAAAGTACTACCAGTATCCTTTGTGCAACGATCAGTACCCCTTACCATATCACTAGTGTCCGTAGAAGTACGATCAATACCCCTCAAAGAACCTCTGTCATCCCTTGGAGAACACTTATTGTCCCTTGAAGAACTATAAATATCCATCGGTGCACTGCTAGTGTCCTTCGAGGTATCATTAATCTTCGTCAAATTACTAATGCTAAGGCTAGATGTGTTTTGAACACACATTTGAAGCTCTAAATTTCGTTTGTCGCCGTTAATTCCGTGGTCTCTTAAAACAAAATAAGAGAAACATCTTAATTGAAAGTACTGGGGGAAATGGACAAAAAAAATTGGACTCAGATCTACCTGTAGCAGTTGTTGAAACAGCCTTAAACAAGTCTGTGGAGTATTAAGTCAATAACATTGTAGCCAAGTGGCTAGTAGGGAGCTTTAGCAGTGACTACGAGTACGACTACGAGTACGAGATTCGTCATTCTCGCGCGTTGTTTGCTTACGCCATCAGTCAAAACTCGTAGTCACTGAGCTTTTGAGTACGAGTTTTTTGGTAAATTTCGTACTCGAAAGTCCAACGACTACGAGTTTTGGCTGATGGCGTAAGCAAACAACGCACGAGAATGACGAATCTCGTACTCATAGTCGTACTCGTAGTCACTGCTAAAGCTCTCTAGTGAGTACAACTACGAATACTTCAAGATTCGTCATTTTCGCGCCAAACACAGTGCTTTTGCTTACGTCATCTGACGAAACTCGTAGTCGTTGGGCTTTCAAGTACGAAATTTACCAACAAACTCGTACTCAAAAACCTGGCGACTTCGAGTTTCGGCTGATGGCGTAAGCAAAAAACGCGCGAAAATGACGAAACTTGGTCACTGTTAAAGCCCGTTCTCCACTAGGCGAATTTGTTCGCGCGAACAGATAAAAAGTAGAAAGCGATTCTACTTTTTCGCGGCGAATTTTTCCGCTAACCAATCACACCACTGGATTTCAGATATCGCTTCGCGTCGCGCGAATAAATTCGCCTGGTGGAAAACGGGCTTAAAGCTTTCTATTCAACAAGCGATTGACAACTGGGGAAAAATAGTGATGATATTGTGAGTTTTTAAAACTTTAGCCCCGTTTAAAGTCTGTTCACAGAATCCAATCTCGTTGGATCCAATTCACTTCTGATTGACGTTTTATAGTCTGTTGACTTGCAATGTATATGGGCAGCAAATAAACTGAAACCAAACACAGTAAAACGTTCAATTACGTCAGAAGTGAATTGCAGAAATTGTCACAAAATTTGATCTTATGAACAAACCTTAAGGGTCATCTACACTTGAGACCTTTGCTGCAAATTTATGTGCGATTTTCTTCTTTTGATAGATGTGAACGAGTAATTAGTTACGAATGCTCTGATGTAAAAGAACTCCTATTTGAACATCAGTAACTAATTCATTCGTTCACATCTATCAAAAGACGAAAATCGCAGCAAAAATTGCAAGTGTAAGCGAGCCTCTGCACCCAATCTATTGGCATGAAATGGATAAGTTATGGGTGTACCCTACTCAATGGTGTACCCGCATACCAAATCGCTCGGCCGTTGGATTAGTAGGCTGGGGTTGAATAAAATTGGATAAAATTCTAACCGTTCCGTGCCTGTGAACTGAGTGAAGTGTAAACAAGGCTTTTGTTTTAACTCGGGAACTGTGATAAGGCCCGTTTTCACCTGCGATTTTTGCTACGATTCTAGGTGCGATTTTTCTCTTTTGATAGATGTGAATTAATAATAAGTTACGAATGCTCCGATATATAAGAGCTCTCATTTGAACATCAGTAACTTATTCACTCGTTCACATCTATCAAAAGAAGAAAATCGTAAACTAAGGGCGCTTTCCTTTATACGGAAAAAACGGTCAGACCGGTCCAGTTGTATTGCAGTACAGACAGATTACTGCATGGTATTTTGGAGTGTTTTAAGATCTCTGCATTCAAGTTTATCGTTATTTACATCTGCCTAGCACGGGAAGTGCAGTTTTATCGCTATATGCTTAACGAAATACTCTATTTCAATATAAAATATGACCGGTCTGACCATTTTGGCCGAATTAACTCTCCTGACGAAGGCTTTCGGGTCGAAACGTCGAGAAGTGTTTTGTCTATTTTAGGCAGTTGTTATACCACATTTGATACTATAGGGTCAAAACTTTAATATTTTAACTCACGAGAATTATCAATCGCTCTGAAAACATGAGCCGAGCTTTCGTTTTTGCCGTCGACAGAATCCTTTTGTGAATTGCCACAAATTTCCTGATTTTCTTTTTGTTGTTCGAGATCTTTCTCGGGGCTTGGACTGACTCTCGTCTTTTCCTTCATCTTCTGAAGAATTTCGGAAACAGTGCTCGAATGACACTCGTCTGATAATTTCACCGAGAGATCCTATAAAACGTAGAAGATCTTGTTCACATATTTGTTGAATAAAGAAGATTATCGGATGTCGGTATAAATTTGACATGAATGGGTCGGGTAAGCGAGTTGAAAATGGGGCTCTCGTATGAAAAATATCAAAAATAGATGAGGTTATTCCTATTTACTGAGTCTTACCAGTCCAATCTACATGTAGTAAGGCTGGTTTTCATGAAGAAGTAGTCATACAAGAAAGGACTGGTTTTTCAACCCTTGTACACACGAGTCGTTCATGAAGAACAAGTCCTACCAGTATCAGGGGTGGATCCAGCACTAGTGCACTAATTTGCATTACAAAACAAAATGGCTATTTTGAGCAGTTTTCTTGTGTCATGCAAATGAGTGCACTAGTGCTGGATCCACCCATGACCAGTATGACTGTTTTTTAATCCTTGTTCGCACGAGTCTGTTCATAAAGGGCTAGTCCTACCAGTATGACTGGTTTTCAACCCGTGTTAACACGAGTCTCTTCATAAAGGGCTAGTCCTACCAGTATGACTGTTTTTTTTTCAACATTTGTTTACACACGAGCCTTCATGAAGAACTAGTCCTACCAGTATGATTGGTTTTTCACCCTGGTTCACACCAGTCCTTCATGAAGAACTAGTCTTACCAGTATGACTGGTTTTCCAACACTTCTTCACAGAAGTACTTCATGAAGAACTAGTCCTACCAGCATGACTGGTTTTCAACTCTGATTACACGAGTCTTTCATAAAAAACTCGAAACCATTCAACACTCAAAGCCATTTTGTTAAATGGTCCTATTTTATCCTACCGTACAAAAGTCTTTTCAACGCAATAGTTTTTAAACGTACCTCTAAAGACGAATAGCTTTCAGCTTTTGTCATATTATTGTTCACAGTCGACGTCATCCTTGTTCTGTTCATAATCATCTCCACTCTCTTAAAATTCAGCGAGCGTTTTAGCAAAAAAAAACCACATCATTTGAAAAGACAAAAAAATTAAAAAATGGAATCCTGCTCTGGAGAAAAAAGCTAGTCGAAATGAAAGCGATGGCGCTCTGAATGATGGAATATTATCAGCTTACATGCATTAGCAAAAAAAAGAGGTGAAAATCGCATCCTGAATAGCTATGTATAATCAATCCTGTTGTTTGGAGGAATTGAACGCGGCCTTAAATTGCCAATTTTATTCGACATTGAACAATTATTGATTGAACTTGAGCGCCTCGTGTATATGGGGAGAAAGTCAGCTCTCTGATTGACAGTTCTTGGAACGCATCTATTTTTTCAAGGACTTTTGTTGATGGACTAAGAGAGAATACGGCTTCCAAATAATCAATTTTTCTATTCAGACCGGTTTTTGACTGGTGACTATTACCAAATCATATACTTTGAGGCAGGCGAATTTTCGTGAGTGCTTTTACAGCAGTTCAAGCGATACTGAGTAATGATAATGCCCCATTAGTGCATTACCACAGCGCCTATATCTAAAAGTCATCGTATGATCGAATGCAAATACATTTTAGGTGCTGCTAGCTGGTGAATTATCAATAAACATGTGGTCGATTACGATGACCGACAAGCTTAAAAATTACAGCATCTAGAAGCATTTTTAGCTGGCCATTTTCCGCTAACCGCCCGTGATTTTGTGCTTTGAACAACATTGAGCTAGCTGTACATATCAGTACATGGTATAGTCAGAGTGCAAGTGATTTGCAATTGCCGCTCGCCGCTTTGAAGGGTTCTCAAAATAGAAAACCATTCGGCAGTATTTAATCGATTATATCTTTCGTTATTCTTTATGAAACTATCCGAGATTTTGTGATTATGTTTAGTTATAAGAACTCTAGCTCTGGTATAAATTTAAAACCGAAATAAAGAATATTTCAAGAGATATTAAGCTGTTTATGATTTGTTTCAAACGAGAAATAGATTATTCAAAAACTAGTCCTAGTCCTTTCCCGCCAATTCGGATTACCCGGCTCAGATTAACTATCTCCCCCCCCCGATTCGTTCTTACCTTCCGTCTTTCTTGTCGTTCGATTTCCTCTCTCCTCAGTCTCTCCTCTTCTTCTTTCTCCCGTCTTTCTGCTTCGGCCGCTCTCCGTTCGAGTTCTCGCCGTCGTAAAACCTCCAATTCCTCCTTTCGTTTAACTTCGGCTGCCAATTTCTCGGCCTCGAGGGCTGCATCTCTCTCACGATCTTCTCGAAGCAAACGAGACCGTTCTTCCTCCTGTTTCTGAAGTTCTGCCAAAAGTTCCGCTTGCCTGGCCATTTCTTTCGCTGAAATATGTACAAATTTATTTTAGTATTGAAAAATGCTTTTGAGCATTCTAGTTTTTTACCTGGAAATAATTTTAGGCTTAATCTTTTAACTTCTCTTTTGCTTTTACGTGCAGTATTTTCGTTAAAATAACTGACATCTGTCATTTTGACAAAAGCAACTCCCGCCATTTTGAAATTCGGCAGAAGTGATTTTCGCGCGTTAATCCCAGGTCGTTTGACCAATCAGAGGCCAGAATTTCCAAGAATCACCTTTGGGAGTCAATCACGTAAAAGAAGCATTTGGCCTTCAATTTGCAAAAACTCTCGAGATATTTGTTTACGTTTTCGAAACTGACGAAACATGAATATTTTTCTACAACAGACTTGTTTCTGTAAAAAATCACCTTCGTAATTATATCTTAGGTTCCGTGAATATCTCTGAATAAAAACCTCGACTTCGCATCGGGGTTTTTAGCGAGAATCATCTCGCCTTCGGCCAGCCCTGGGAATGATGGACAAGTCTGTTCAACATGTTGATTGGCTAGAAAGTTGGTAAACATGCACTTGACTGGCCCAAGTAATGATGGACAAGTCTGTTTAGGGTCTTGATTGGCTAGAAAGTTGATTAACATGCACTTGACTGGCTCTGGGAATGATGGACAAGTCTGTTCAGTCTGTTGATTGGCTAGAAAGTTGGTAAACATGCACTTGACTGGCCCTGGGAATGATGGACAAGTCTGTTCAACATGTTGATTGGCTGGAAAGTTGGTAAACATGCAGTTGACTGGCCCAAGTAATGATGGACAACTGGACAAGTCTGTTCAGTGTGCTGATTGGCTAGAAAGTTGGTAAACATGCACTTGACTGGTCCAAGTAATGATGGACAAGTCTGTTCAACATGTTGATTGGCTGGAAAGTTGGTTAACATGCACTTGACTGGCCAAGGGAATGATGGAAAAGTCTGTTTAGTGTGTTGATTGGCTGGGAAGTTTACTTTAACATGAAATCAACTGGCCAGAGTAATGTCAGACAAGTCTGTTCTATGAGCTGATTGGCTAGAAAGTTGATTAACTTTCAATCAACTGGGTGGAATTATGGCAAATAATAGCCTGATAATTTAGTCCTGTCGCACTACAGAACTGTGAAAACAATCAACTTCTAAAGAAATGAATGATTATTATCCTTAAAATTTCCATAGCAGGACTAAATAGTCAGGCCAGCTACACCATTCAATGCAGGCTGGATATCTTTCTAAAAAACTCACCCTTTTCTTCAGCTAGTCTCATTTCCTCTTCTTCGCGCTGTTTCCTCAACTCTTCTTGTTTCTCTTTATCCAACAAAGCCTTTCTCTCCGCCTCCTCTCGCATCTTCTTTCGATGCTCTGCTAAAGCCCTCCCCGCTTCTGCCTCGTTGCTGGTCCCAGCATGGTGCGTGGGCTTCGGTTTAGCCTTCGTCTTTTTCCCGGTTGGCGGCCTGGAGGGTTTGGTGTGCCCCCCAACCTGATGTATGGCACCCATGGATTGAGCCTTTGGAATATTTGCCCCCACGCTCCTCCGAGCAGTCACCCCTGCACCTGTGTCTTTGGCCCGCTGCCCAGTTTTACCACCGTCATTCAAGTTATTAGTACTAGAGCTTGTTCTTTTTGATGCACCGAGGTTTGTTTGGGGCCTGCCCAAATGTTGCGGGCCACCAAAGCTATTCAAACTGGAGGTGGACGCGGAGGAGGGCCCCGTTAAATTCCGACGTGTACTCCGTCCACCCTTCCCAGAACCTGGTGGGGTGTGACCTTCGCTTGAACTGGAACTTGAAGAAAGCCTTCGTGTTGCGGAAGTCTCCCGCCTCCCAGCGGCTGCTCCATTGTGGGGCACTGTAGGCAATTTTCGACTACTTGTTTTGGAGGTGGGAGCCTTGTGTTCTAGAAGTTGTCTCAAGGCTGCATTCTTTGTCATATCCTCTTTCTCTTTTTGCCTTCGCCGGTCTTCAACGGCGGCCTTTCTTTCAGCGTTCTTTCGTTTGCGTTCTTCCATTTGTTTTTCCAGCAAGAGTTTTCCAGTAGGCATTGATTTGCCATCTATAGTTGGAGAAAAAATGAGAGAGAATGTTATGGATGGTGGATTTATACAGTCCGATGCCAGGAAATTTTAGCCACAAAATGTGGCCTACTTTACTGTCTAAGGACAGATGATTTCACTCATCAGTGGAAGAGTACTGTCAGTTAATAAATTAACAAAACTATCTGTCAGTGTTTCTTGTTAACCCATTATTAGCTTGCAATGCACCCAGATGTGCCCTACTTTAGTACTTTACTGTGATACCAGATGATTTTACTCATCAGTGGAAGAGTATTGTCACTTAATGAGTTAACAAAACTATCTGTCAGTGTTTCTTGTTAACCCATTAGCTTGGCAATACACCCAGATGTGCCCTACTTTAGTACTTTACTGTGATACCAGATGATTTTACTCATCAGTGGAAAAGTATTGTCACTTAATGAGTTAAAAAAACTATCCGTCAGTGTCGCTTGTTAACCCATTATCTTGCAATGCACCCAGATGTGACCTACTTTAGTATTGTACTCTGTCTAATGCCAGGTAATTTTAACTGGAGATTTCAAATACTCAAACTATATTACGGCATTAATTGGCATTCAATATTAAAAGAATACCATTAATTATCAATATCAAAATCTAAAACTGCCTTGGCACGAATTTCTTTCAACGCTAGTATTGGCTTTCTATATTAAAATACGGTTCAAAACAGTCTAAAAGTTTAGAGGAAGCAAGTCATAACTCATAATAGCTGAGATAAAGACGTCTTTGAAATCAAACAATCCCGACATTGTTCAAACTCGTGATTTCGCTTTAATACCTTCACTTTTAGTATTCGTATTTGTCCTTATTCCACTCGAAGGCCTGGTTTTATTTACTTTTGTGTTGAAGTTCTGTGGTTGTGTTGTATTAGTTTGAATTTTACCACCAGTTTTAGACGCCGAATCTAAAAAGGCAAACGCAAACGACATGAAGCCTGATTCTCGCCGATGCGGTTTAACACAACTGATACAAGCCCTTTCCTGCCTTTAAGCCGTTAACTAAAAGCCGGGAAATTAAAATTTAACGAGAACTCAAACCTGAAGGGAATTCCTGAAGATTCATTTGTCAAACTTCGTCGCACGATTCCAGACGTCTTCGTCCCGAAATCGACGCGAAAATCAAGCCAGGACATCGAAGGACATTACATGTTTCGTTCCAGTGTGTTTTCAAGCTTCTCGTCCCAAGAATTTCGCCAAAAATCGGGCAATTTTCAGCCAGAATCGACTTGTTGTTTATATTGTTGACTAATCTACTTATATTTGCGGCGACTGCTCGATTTCGGCATTATTGGGAGAATGGGACCTAATTAACAAAGAGATCACGTGTGGCTAAGGGGAAAACGTGTATTATGCTAATTTTGAATACAATAAAAGACACCAGAAAAACAAATTTTAAGTGGAATATTGCAGGTAGAAACGGGGATTTCAACATTTAGCATCATGCTGGGACAATAAAAGCTAACATCACGTAAAGAATGGCGTCTTTCGTGTTAGGTGCAACTAATCCCCCCCCATCATTGATGTCATAATCGACAATTTGCACCAGTTGATCAGGGTCAAATGTTTCCGAGATATAAGCCCCGTTTACACTACACTCGATTTATTGGCACGGTACGGCTAAAATGGGTACCCGTGCCCATTTCATCCGCTCCCGGCCATTGTTTTGGTAGCCTAAACAATAGTAAAATTGAGCACGGGTACCCATTTTAGCCGTGCCGTGCCGATAAATTGAGTGTAGTGCTATAAGTAACTCAGTTTGGTCGTTACCACTCCAACAAATAGGATGTTGTGTAGGTAATGCCTTTGAATAACAAGCCAATCAAATTTCCTGTAATATTACGTTTGACTTCATACTGACAGGTCTACTCATGCCGATACATTGGAAGATGATAGTTATTCATAATAAAAATCGCCAGATCACGTTAGTGTCGCTACACAAATCTAAAATCAACCTATTTTTGAATTTTGACTTCTCAATGATTTCGTATATATCCTGCGCACGCGCTCAGTAGTTCCTTACTGCTCTCCGTCCCAATGCTGCTCTGGCGTCTCGCCCTCCAGGTAAAATATTTTCATTTTCAGATACCTAAACTTCTTGCCAACATTTGCCAGAGCAACCATATCTTCATCCTCCAATCTCACGTTGTATGTTTCCAGGTTTTGTTTAATACGACCTTCGTTGACCGACTTGGGTAGAACAGGGCAGCCATATTTGATACCCCAGGCAAGTAAAACCTTGAGAAATTACAAATATTGGTTCAAATTGGATTTAACACTGGGTCAATAAGTCAATAAGAGATTATCTATCCTTACTAGACCTCTAGGAATAACAGTTTAGAACTGATAGAGCTATCCAGTATAAATAAAGTTAGTTTAGTTTAGGTTTCCTCCTGTAGTAACACTGGATCAATAAGAGATGATCCTTACTAGACCTCTAGGAAGAACAGTTTAGAACTGATAGAGCTATCCAGTATAAATAAAGTTATTTTAGTTTATGTTTCCGCCTGTAGTAAGACTGGATCAATAAAAGATGATCCTTACTGGACCAAAAATTAAAAGATCTATCCAGTTTACAAACCTGTGCTGGGCTACAGTTACGTTTCACAGCAATCTCTTTGACCAGCGGTTCATCCATGAGGATAGGGTCGGTCTCGTCAACTTTGGGTCGATCACGTGAACCGAGAGAAGAATACGCCGTGAGGATAATTCCTGGAATTGGAACGAAATTCTAATCACTTGAGAATATCCATTTTAAACTCAAAAGAATATATGCAAAAATTTTTCCAGCGAATCATTTCTCTGCCAGTAGAAGTCCAGTCAAAAACATTCCTTGAATATTTCCAACTTTGTGGTAAAGCAATGACGTCAATGGAAACGCTGCATTTGATTGGCTACCTTCTAATTTGGTGACCAATCAGACGCTTTTTTTACAAATCAGCTGGAGAAATTCATTTCAGAAACTTTCCAGTTTTTACTTTTTAGCGAAGTCTGTTTTGAATCGTTTTAGCAAAACGAGGATATTTTTCAGACCTTTTTTTTCGCAATATTTCTTCAAAGCGGGCTGAGGAAGGAATGGATGGAGTTCAACTAAAAAAAAGTAAAAATGGTAACTATTTTAAAAAAAGAAAAACCAACAGGCTCGTAGCCACACAGCTTAGTTGAGACGTGTAGGATTAATATAATCACGTTTACATACCGTAAAAATAAATTGCTATCGAAAGAAATCAGCCGGGAATAAGACGAATTTATGAATACAAAACGAATGTTTATTACATGTGGATCTACAATAGTCATTACCTTGGTTTGTGGCTGGAATAATCTCGGCCGTTTCCAAAAGCGCCTTAACTTTTACCGTTGTGAAATTTGAGATACCAATTGCTTTGCAAAGACCTTTCTTTACCAATTCCTCCATTGCCTGAAAAAGCAGATAGTTTGTGTTTTAGTGACTGCGAAAGAAAAGGAAAACTAATGTCCCGGACGCAAATTCGTACAAGAAAATCATCATGATCGTTGCCGTTGGACTAGATGCGACCTTGTTTTCAACAGAAAGCTAAGATTGGCTGTTTCGATTACAGTTTTCATTTATAATAACCTTCCAAGTTCTGCTCATTCGTTCCTTGTCATATCCAAGAATATTCTTTTTATCTTCTGGTTTGTGGGGATAGAACATGCCGTTTGCATATGTGCATGGGTGATGCACCTAAGAAATTAAAGTAAAAATTTAGGTTTCCTCCTGTAGTAACACTGGATCAATAAGAGATGATCCTTACTAGACCTCTAGGAAGAAGAGTTTAGAACTGATAGAGTTATCCAGTATAAAATAAAGTTAGTTTAGTTTAAGTTTCCTCTTGTAGTAACACTGGATCAACAAGAGATGATCCTTACTGGACCTCTAGGAAGAACAGTTTAGAACTGATAGAGTTATCCAATATAAAATAAAGTTAGTTTAGTTTAAGTTTCCTCTTGTAGTACGTAACACTGGATCAATAAGAGATTACCCTTACTGGACCTCCAGGAAGAACAGTTTAGAATTGATAGAGCTATCCAGTATGAATAAAGTAAGTTCAGTTTAGGTTTCCTCTTGTAGTAACACTGGATCAATAAGAGATGATCCTTACTGGACCTCTAGGAGGAACAGTTTAGAACTGATAGAACTATCCAGTATAAAATAAAGTTAGTTTAGTTTAGGTTTCCTCCTGTAGTACCACTGGATCAATAAGAGATGATCCTTACTGGACCTCTAAGAAGAACAGCTTAGAACTGATAGAGCTATCCAGTATAAATAAAGTTAGTTTAGTTTAGGTTTCTTCCTGTAGTAACACTGGATCAATAAGAGATGATCCTTACTGGACCTCGAGGAAGAACAGCTTAGAACTGATAGAGCTATCCAGTATAAATAAAGTTAGTTTAGTTTAGGTTCCTGTAGTAACACTAGATAAATAAGAGATGATCTTTACTGGACCTCTAAGAGGAACAGTTTAGAACTGATAGAGCTATCTAGTATAAATAAAGTTAGTTTAGTTTAGGTTTTCTCCTGTAGTAACACTGGATCAATAAGAGATGATCCTTACTGGACCTCTAAGAAGAACAGTTTAGAACTGATAGAGCTATTCGGTATAAATAAAGTTAGTTTAGTTTAGGTTTCTTCCTGTAGTAACACTGGATCAATAAGAGATGATCCTTACTGGACCTCGAGGAAGAACAGCTTGGAACTGATAGAGCTATCCAGTATAAATAAAGTTAGTTTAGTTTAGGTTCCTGTAGTAACACTGGATCAATAAGAGATGATCTTTACTGGACCTCTAAGAGGAACAGTTTAGAACTGATAGAAGAACTGATTGAACTATCCAGCAGTGATGTAGCCAACCTGACAATTTAGTCATGCTGTGATAATATATTGGTGGTCATTGACTGTGAAAACAATGAATTTCTAAAGAATTTAATAATTCTAATGACTTGAAATTTGCATATCAGGACAAATTAGCAGGCTGGCTATATTAACTGTTAAAAATTCCAGTATACAGGAATGTAGTTGTGGTCAGTATTACTGGACAAACTGGCTCCAATATTATACAAGGTTCAAATAAAATAATATATTATAATACATTAATCCAATATTTACCAAGTATAAATCCAGGTATTCAAGTTGCAAGTTTTTCATGGTTGTTTGACAACTGGCTAGGACATCCTCATGGCCATTACTCCTGTTCAAAAATATTGAACATGATTAGTTTATAAAGATGGGTGTGACAGTCTCTTATGTATAGGTAGCTCACCATCAGTCAGCAGTCAATGGAATAGTTAGCCAATTACTTCATGTGGCCACCCCCCCCCCCCCGAAGGGGTATGAATATGAACTCGTATATCTGAGAAAATATTTGTTACCAAAGTTTGGATGTGATAAAGATATCCTCTCGCTTCAAGCCAAGTTCCTTCAGAACCTCTGTCAAAGCCTGACCAACTTCTGCTTCATTCCCATATAAGTGAGCACAGTCAATATGCTTGTATCCCGCTCTGATAGCGGCTTTCACAGCTGCCCCGACCTCGCCTGGCTTCGATTTCCATGTTCTATACAAGATAAATAAAATTTAAGGCCCACTTTGTAATAGAAGTGCAACCTAGTTGATGTGGTTCTGCTATGCTTAAAAAAATAAGGCGCTTGAAAAAAAAGGCCAAAGCTAGTTTTTTCACAATTAATACAGACCACAAGGCAAACATTGTAAAACGATTACTTAACAATAGATTTCATTTCCTACAATGTGCTGAAGGATCTATATCTAAAGTTTGGTGGCAGTTGGATTGAAGGAAAAATCTAGTATTTATGGTCCAAATTAAGCGAGTCTCATTGCAAAACCATGAACTATAATATACTACAGTGTAAACTGTCATATCAGAACCTTTGCAGATTGTATCTCCAGGCATATATACCATTACATCTCACTGTCTGTCATTACTTTGGCTTGTTAACTACAATCCTGGACAAAACGGTTAATAAAAGTATTGAAAATCTTAAAAAAATGTTTGGGTGCAACTTGAAGCAAGTGTTTTTCCCCTTTACTTCCCATGAAGGTTGGATATCTTGCCAAGTTGCCTTTGCTTGCTAAACCCAACATTGCCAAGGGGATGGGGGGAGAATATCGCATGAAACAAGTAAGTTAATCGAAATGAAATGAAAATTGTACTTTACCAACAGACAACAGTGTTATTAACAGGTTTAGTCCATGATTGTAGCATGTTAATGCTCTTTAATCGTCATTACTTCAGCAAACATTGGAGAAATGTTTCGAGGCTGACTAGTCTACTATATACTAGTGCGCTTGGACCCTGTAGTGCCCAAATTCCAAGAAATTATACATCAAAACCATATCTAGTAGCATGCAAGTTACATTTCAAATTTGATAGTAATAACTGGTATTAGCTGTGCCTAAACCTGCGTGATTGCGTAAAAATATTGCGTAATAATATAATCCACGCCAAATGCAGCCAATTTTACCTAATAAAAACGTGTTGAGTAACTCACCCTAGGCCAATGGCGGGCATCACTGCTCCTGTGTTAAGTTTGAACGACTTTGGCTAAGAAAAAAATAGAAAAAATCCAAATGTGCAAATATAGGCAAGTATGGTTGCAGAGTTACTGTAGCTTTATTATAACTATGGTACAATCGGCACTTGTGCAAGGTAGAGCTAAAATCCATCACAGCAATGCTTACTCAAAGATTTACCTCTAAAATGACTTACCAGCTCCATTTCTATTGATATTTGTGAAAAAATGAAGAAAATTTTTCCCAGAATTGATCGTCTTCTCACGATTCAAAATCAGATTATCAGCACTAATTAGCATAACACCCGATTTCTATACTCGATAATCTCTTTTTCCTTCTGATGTAACTGGAGCATGAACTGCCTGCTTAAAAGGACTTTAGTGTTACTTATTTGGCGCCAATCGTCAGATGCGTTGTAAAGATTTACGGTACCTTCAATCTTCATATAATCTCTGAATGGCCTGTCAAATTACAGTAGTATTCATTATTTATCTGCAATCACTGATCTTAAAGTTAACTGGATTGCATATAAGCATATCAGTTATGCAATTCAAATATTCAAACGTGGTCTGCTTTTGGACATATAAGCTTTTGAAACTTTTATCAACCTTTCATCATATCAAATTTATTTAACTTTACATTGTACAATTTACAAAAATATACAATTTATATTATTGTATTACATGTCAGTTATTAAACCAATAAAATGAGTTCTTACATTCTTCACACAACAACAGCAGTGGGCCAGTATCTTTCTTCAGACATTTCTGGAAGTTCTTCCCAAGAATACCTTTCAAAGTTGAAGCCTTCCCCTGACTTCAGGCAACAATATTGCTCACCCAACCCTCCCAGGACTACAATGTTGTTTTCAATAACAACTGCAGTACATCCCCTCCTCTTACATCTCATTGACGGCAGCATGTGACTTTCTTCTGACTTGACATTGTAAATGATAACTGTATCTAATGACTTGTATTCTGCAGTGCCACCAATAACAACAATGTTGTCTCCCCATCTCACAGTTGCCATTTCACTCACTTCATACGGCAGTGGTGACAACTGTTTCAGCTCATTCTTCTTTATATCGTACAGTACGACACTGCTGAGGTTGTCTTCATCATCACCAGTTGATTTTCCACCAACTATCAACAAATTATCATCAAATATTTCCATGCTGTGACGTTGCCTTGGTTCTGGCATTCTATATAAGGTCTTCACAGTATAGGGAGGAACAAGCTGGACTGATTCAATCAAGTCAGATATACTATTTCCACGATCACCTCCAGAGACTATCAACTGATCATTATACAGCACACTGCTATGGTCTTTTATCTTATCAGGTAGTTTAACGTCACAGTCACTCCAGTGTGTTGAGAGATCAGGGTTTGGGTCAATATTCATTCTAATCATATCATCAACAATCCCAGACCCATCACAGCTTCCCCCAGCTATAGTCATATGATTGTTATAAATAAATGAAGTCCCTCCATAACGTTTCTTTGGCATTGATTTTAATGTTGACCATGTTTTTTGACGCCAGTTAAACATCTCTACAGAGTTAGTTCCTACACCTCCAGCAACAATTATATTTTCCTTATCACCACTTGGTCTATTTTTTACTTTTCTGTTTTCTACTATCTTGCCTTCCATCCCGATAGTGATAAGAACGTCCTTCATTTCATCAAAAGCTCTGACCAAAGCTGTTTTCAATCCATCGACTTTGTTGCTAACCACTTCCATTTTATCGTTCATATCTGCAACATTCTTTTCCCCATTCTTTTCTATATTTGCAATCCTTTCCTCCATTTCTGTCAAAGTTTTCGTCATTTCTCCGCACGAGTGACACTTCAACTTACGGAAATCACAGACTTCACTTTCATGGTGAATAAGATCACGCTTGTTGACAATTAAACCACAGCCTTGGTTTGTACAAACGGCTGGTGTATATCCACATGTATCTTCATGGCGGTCAAGATGCTGTAATTCTACAACTTCTTGACAACCTCTGTCGATGTAAACGCAACGAATTTTTGATTCATTCAAATAATCTTTTATCATTCGTTGTGGTTCGGCCAAAGTCTCTACGGTCAGTTCATCAGAACACGTTGGACATGTTTGGGAATTTTCCAGATGTTTCGTAATACAACAACGGCAAAAAGAATGCTGGTTTCTCGAACACATAACCGGCTCTTTCAAGACATTGAAGCAAATATGACAATGAAAATTTCGATCGATTTGGTTCACAAACCTTTCTTCATCGTAGCCTTGTATATATGAAGCCATATTTCACGTCGTTCTTGTGTCGTAATAATAAAGCAAGTTCTGTGTTGTTTGTCGTTCTGTAGTATAAACCTCGCTGTATAGACTGAATATAGATACAGTCTTCGTTTACTTCGATCTTGAAGATGTCTGTGCTTGTGTTTTCTAGAAATCTTTGATAAAATAAAGTTTTAAATACGCCAGACACATATATTGCTTCCGTGTAAAGGGTTTAAAGCGTCTTTTCTAGACTGAAATTTGTATGAAAATATGATATTGTTTTCATGTCTTGTGACAAAAGGTCATTGACCTCCCATTCAAATACTGACTTGCAATTGGTTATGTTTATGTTAGTTGGAATTTTTTTATTTCATTGTTAATGAGTTCCTAGAAAATCGGTACTTTTTACCAAGAAATATCGAATAAAGAATGCAGATTGTTTTGGACATTTTGTACTTACCTCGGACCTCGGTTGGGGAATTCGAATGTCAAATTTGCAGAGCACCACAGCCTTATCGCAGTAAATTAAATACTATGACGGTAAATGATGACGCAAAAAAAACATTACCAGCGGACAATTTGATAAAAAACACGAAAAAAACACACTAGAAATCTTTTGAACTCCAGATATGAACTATAGACAACAAGACAATACTTTCAAGGTGATATTTCGACTTTATTTTGGACTTTCCTCGCAAGAATGATTTTCATTGGCTAAACTTTACAATACATTTCTTTTTCAACCAATAGCATAGCTTCGTTAGAAAAGCATTATCCAATTGGACGAAAGCTTCCAAGCACTACTGCGACATGACCCAAATAAAGTCGAAATAGCTATCAAAATTCTTGTCTTGTTGTCTATAGCTCATATCTTGAGTTTAACAGATTGCATTTTTCGGAGTATGTTTTTTTTTGTATAATAGTATAATAAGGGCTGTTTACATGAGCCCGGTTACCCGAGATTCAACGAAGCGTGAGAGGACTTTGAGTTATTGAAATAAGTCTTTATGACACCAAACAAGAACATGTTATTGTTGTGGTGATTATACGACTGCCAGAATCAATGTTATCTGCTTATTTCAATACCTCAAAATCATCTCCCGCTTCGTTGAACCTCGGGTAACCGGGCTCATGTAAACAGCACTTAAGTGACGTAACCGCATTGACAGGGCTATCTATGGTAAATTTGTTTATTGCTAATTTCAATCACGTTAGTGTCCTTACACAATTTTTAAAATCACCCTATTTTTGAATTTTCTACCAATTTCACTCAAACACATTTTTGTCCTCATTTTTTGTCAACATTTTTGTCCTCACATTTCTCCGTCCCAGTACTCCTCTGCCGTCTGGCCCTCAAGGTAAAATATTTTCATCATCAGATACCTAAACTTCTTGCCAATATTTGAAAGGGCAACCATATCTTCCTCTTCCAATTTCACGTTGTACGTTTCCAGGTTTTGTTTAATACGACCTTCGTTGACCGACTTGGGTAGAACAGGGCAGCCATATTTGATACCCCAGGCAAGTAAAACCTTGAGAAATGCGCAAAAAAAGTTTCGAAACTGGATTTTTATTGGGAATAACAACTTAGAACTGATAGAGCTATCCAATATAAATAAAGTTAGTTTAGTTTAGGTTTCCTCCCGTAGTAACACTGGATGAATAAGAGATGATTCTTACTGGACCTCTAGGAAGAACAGTTTAGAACTGATAGAGCTATCCAGCATAAATAAAGTTAGTTTAAGCTTCCTCCTGTAGTAACACTGGAAGAATAAGAGATGATCCTTACTGGACTTCTAGGAAGAACAGTTTAGAACTGATAGAGCTATCCCGTATAAATAAAGTTAGTTTAGTTTAGGTTTCCTCCTGTAGTAACACTGGATCAATAAGAGATGATCCTTACTGGTCCTCTAGGAAGACCAGTTTAGAACTGATAGAGCTATCCAGCCAGTATAAATAAAGTTAGTTTAGTTTAGGTTTCCTCCTGTAGTAACACTGGATCAATAAGAGATGATCCTTACTGGACCTCTAGGAAGAACACTTTAGAACTCATAGAGCTATCCAGTGTAAATAAAGTTAGTTTAGTTTAGGTTTCCTTCTTTAGTAACATTGGATCAATACGAGACGATTCTTACTGGACCTCTAGGAAGAACAGTTTAAAATTGATGGAACTATCCAGTACCTGTAGTACCACTGAATAAAAAACAGAATAAGCCATTCAGTTTACAAACCTGTGCTGGAGTACAGTTACGTTTCGCAGCAATTTCTTTGACCAGCGGCTCATCCAAGAGGACAGGGTCAGAGTCGGTACAACTGGGTCGATCACGTGAACCGAGGGAAGAATAAGCAGTGAGCATTATTCCTGGAATGATAATGACAAATTCTAAGAACTTCGAGATATCTTTTTCAGGTTCTCTAAACACTTCATGAAATTTTAAAATCAATTCAGGAAATTAATCCCTGTGATTAGGTAACTCTAATCCTAAATCTAACTCTAATCCTAACTTAATCTCAATTCGTGTATTCAGAAGTACTGAACATTGAATTATTACCAATGTTCAACGAATATTACTAACCTCGTTGTGGTGTTATAAAACCGTATGTAAACTCGGCATTTGATTGGCTACCTTTCATTTTTGTAGCCAATCAATTTGAGAGTTTATAAACATGTTTATTTTAAAAACTTCAGACAAACATAAAAAATTGGGAGCTTTTCAAATAAACAATTTCATTTTGAGATTAGATCGTTTTCGCAAAACGTGGACATTTTTCTGACCTTTCTCTTCGCAATATTTCTTCAAACCGGGCTGAGGAAGGAATGGATGCAGTTCAACTACACAAAAGGCAAAAAATATGAAATATTTAAAGTGGTAAAGTCACAGAGAATACAGTAATTCAGTAAAGGCATGTCTACATTTTTGATTTTCTTCTTTTAATAGATGTGAACGAGTACTAAGTTACGAATGCTCTGATGTATACGGTCGGCACTAGATCATAGACAACATACGCACATATCTGAAACTGCTATATATAACGGTCAGCGATGTTGCATTTGCCCAAAACTTAATATAAATGAGGTCTTATTATACTTATAATACTTTGTAATTGTAAACACTTTCAATTTATAAAACTCAGGACGATACAAATTGACTGTATTGACTGACTCACAATTTAATGAGTATTACAAAATGAATTGCTCAAGTCATTCACAGAGATAGATTTTTCAAACAACCTTTCCTCGTATAATATCATAGTTTCTTTTAATATTATGGATGAAGAGCCTTATACCATATGCCTTATGCTTATGCCATAATATTGTATATAAAATCTTTATTATTATTATTAATAAAGTTTTCATTATTATTATTATTATAACGTTAAAATTCATTATTATGGAAGTAAAGTTTCTGCAATATTTACAATCTTATTTCTTTTCATGTAATTGTAGTATATTATTTTTACTTTATAACTGACTGGTGTCACAGGAATTTTGCCCTCCCAGAATATTCCTCCCCCCCTAATAAATTTTGAATTTTTGATCTAATAACAAAATGACTGCAAGTTGAAGAGTATTGCAAAATGTGAGCCTTGAATGGGTATAACATGTATTGTTGTACATACACACTAAGACATACTATTGATTTCATAATTTAAATTTGACCAATTCCATTATGTTTGTCAATACAATGATAATGTGTTAACAGAGAACAAAAATTGCAAAGGAAAGGTGAAGTTTCTGAAAGGGGGCCAATTTCCTAAGAATTTTATGTTGCCTCCTCCCTGGAAGGGTGATATTACTAGGGGGGGCAAAATTACTGGAACACCAGTACAATAAATTCCACACTTTAAACACCCACCAACTGAACCTGATATATTTCTAGCATCACATCTTTGTAGCTTAGCTTAACCTTATCAGATTGGAGGAATAAGGTTGATATATATACATATACATATATACCCTCCATATATCAACCTATGAAAGAATGCTTAGAAACTAATTTAACCAATTAATTAACTAGCACTCAGTCTAGCAGTACTCTACCACTGACAAGTAGAATCGTCTGGCGTTTATAGATAGAGTAAATTCTAAAGTAGGCTGCATTTCCCACCAACAGGTTTAACTCTGGCCTTGTAATTAGAGAAATATGCAACTTTATGGTATTAACAATGCACTCAAATGTACTGTTTATATAAAGGTTATACTGTTTATATTTAACTATTTCAATTGAGGTTCCAGTGGGACATTAGATGAATTGTTGAAACTTGAAGGAAATTATCACCAACTAAGTCACAGAATGATCCACTAACTATGTCACAGAACGATTCATCAATATCCTTTGCAGGGATATAATATTTCTTTCCTTCGAGCCAATTTTCCAATTTTCGCGCGCTATTTTATTATGAAATCAAATTAGGGCACCCGCTGACCAATATATATAGCAGTTTCAGATATGTGCGTATCTTGTCTATGATCTAGTGCCGACCGATGTATACAAACTCCTATTTGAAGATCAGTAACTAATTCACTCGTTCTCATCTATCAAAAGACGAAAATCGCACATGAAAATCGCAGCAAAAATTGCAATTTTAAACGGGCTTTAATACACACGAATCTTTACCTTGGTTTGTGGCGGGAATAATCTCGGCTGTTTCCAAAAGCGCCCCAACTTTGACCGTTGTGAAATTTGAAATACCGATTGCTTTGCAAAGACCTTTCTTTACCAAGTCCTCCATTCCCTTAACAAACGAAAAAGCAACAAAGTTAAACATAAGTTTGGACGAGGGAAACGAAAAACGTGATTTAAACGGAACGTTTTAAATACCACAAATTCGTTCGTAAATAAAGTCTAATTTCATAATGTATGTTGCATATTTTGGCGGGAAAATGTTCAAGACATAAAATACTTTCGGCGTATCACTCAAACTCTGTATATTTTACCTTTATTCTTTACATTATGCAGTGAACTAAGTGTTTAACAGTATTTAGTGGTTTTAAAACAGAAAGCGACAAACGTTTTTTTGAAATATAATCCGGCTATCAAAAATGTCAATGTTGTAAATGTCAATGTCATTATCACTGAAATGAATACAAAAGTCGCTTCAATTCAAGTGTTATTTTCTTTTCGTTGGTACCTCGAGAAATCTCTCACATTTAACAGTGCCTTTAGATGGCGTAGTAAACATACTTTTTTTACGCTGTTGAGGTTTGCAAAATGCTTTCAAATGTTGAAAGGTCAATACTTTTGCATAATAAAATAAGCGGTTTTGAACACATCTTTTAAGCGAAATAGAAAATATCACTTTTAGGAGATGTTCACATGAGCCCAGTTACCAGAGATTTAACGAAGTTTGAGATGATTTCGAGGTGTTAAAATAAGTCTTTTTGAAAAACAAAACCATCACAAACTATTGTTAGGATGTTACACTAATATCAGGATCATGTTTATTTACTTATTTCAATACCTCAAAGTCGTTTTAAATTTCGTTAAATCACGGTAACCGGGTTCATGTGAACAGACTCTTAATCGCTACCTCTTGCTACAATATCAGATGCAGAAAATCAACATCGTTGGAAAAGATTCAACTCTATGTGCTTTTCTTTAAACGGTCAAAATGGTCAAACCGGTCACATTTTGAATGGAAATAGAGTATTTCGTTAAGAATATAGCGGCGAAACTGCATTTTCCGTGCTAGACAGATGTAAATAACGATATACTTGAATGCAGAGTTTTTGAAACACTCTAAAATACCAGTAATAGGGACCTTAAGCATGTAGGACGGCAACACGACGACGACGTGGTTGGAATACTCCTTTAAATAAATGTTATGATAAAGCGCTGTTCGATATTATCAACTGTACCAATTTAAAGAGATATAAGACGTTGAAAACATTGTGTTTACGTTTAGGGACAATTCTATAGAGCCTAATTCGAGGTAGGGCTCGCTGGGTCCTGAAATGCAGACGTTCTACAAAGGACGTAATAAACAACGTTTTGCCGTTGTAAACAGAACGTAGATCTCGTCTAAAACTCCCATAGGTATTTAGTAATTCATTTCTTTTCAATGAAGCATTGTATTGACAGCTGCCGTCGTCGTGTCCCCGTCCTACATGCTTAAGGTCCCCAGGGCCGAAACTAGAACGATAATTGGGGGGTGTTTATTCATATATTCAGTTCTGCCCGACGGATTTCTATTGTGAGCTTTTGCACTTACAAAAGAAATCCGCAGGGCAGAACTGAATATATGAATAAACACCCCCCCAATTATCGTTCTAGTTTCGGCCCTGAAGGTCCCTAATATATCTAAAGGAAGGCGCCCATTGTTCGTTTAACGATCAATTGCCTGTCTATGTTAACGTTTTTACAACCTTCCAAGTTCTGCTCATCCGTTCTTTGTCATATCCAAGAACATTTTTCTGGTCTTCAGGTTTTGTGGCGAAGAACATACCGTTTCCATATGTGCATGGGTGATGCACCTAAAAAAAAAAAGTAACTATTTAGGTTTCCTCCGGTAGTAACACCAGTTGCATCAATAAGAAAATATCCTTACTGGACCTCTAGGAGGAACAGCTTAGAGCTATCCAGTATAAATAAAGTTAGTTTAGTTTAGGTTTCCCCCTGTAGGCTGTAGTTACACTGGGTCAATAAGAGATGATCCTTACTGGACCTCTAGGAAGAACAGTTTAGAACTGATGGAGCTATCCAGTATAAAGTTAGTTTAGTTTAGGTTTCCTCCTTTAGTAACACTGGATCAGTAAGAGATGATCCTTACTGGACCTCTAGGAGGAACAGCTTAAAGCTATCAAGCATAAATAAAGTTAGTTTAGTTTAGGTTTCCTCCTGCAGTAACACTGGATCAATAAGAGATGATCCTTACTGGACCTCCAGGAAGAACAGTTTAGAACTGATAGTGCTATCCAGTATAAATAAAGTTAGTTTAGTTTAGGTTTCCTTCTGCAGTAACACTGGATCAATAAGAGATGATCCTTACTGGACCTCCAGGAAGAACAGTTTAGAACTGATAGAGCTATCCAGTATAAATAAAGTTAGTTTAGTTTAGGTTTCCTCCTGTAGTAACACTGGATCAATAAAAGATGATCCTCACTGGACCTCTAGGAAGAACAGTTTAGAACTGATAGCGCTATCCAATATAAATAACGTTAGTTTAGTTTAGGTTTCCTTCTGTAGTAACACTGGATCAATATAAGATGATCCTTACTGGACCTCTAGGAAGAACAGTTTAGAACTGATAGAGCTATCCAGTATAAATAAAGTTAGTTTAGTTTAGGTTTCCTTCTGTAGTAACACTGGATCAATATAAGATGATCCTTACTGGATCTCTAGGAAGAATATTTACCAAATATAAATCCAGGTAATCCAGCTGCAGGTTTTTTAAAGTTGTTTGACAAGCAGCCAGAACATCTTCATGACTATTACACCTGAAAAATAACAAATAATTGAACTGTTAATTGGCATCCAAATCATAGATGAATCCCATTGGGCTTCTTAGCAGGGGAGGGGAGGGGAGGGGTCCAGCCCTCGGGCATGTGCAGCATATTGCAATCTTCTAACTTGTAATTGAGGCATGATTCTGTCAGGATGTCAAGGTAGTTGTTGTGATTTCCATGACAAATGCAAATTAAACTTGAAATCTGCAAATTAAGCTTACAGCCGCTTCCGCACATCAGTTCAGCTCATAACATTAGGGGACTTCCATGATTTAGAAATTGAACAAATCTCATATGTTTTTAATTTCTCAGGGACGGATCTAGAAGCTTAATGGGGGGTGCATATTCACATATTCGTCTTATGCCCGATTGATTTCTTTTGATAGCGATTGTTTTTACCCTCTTTTAAACTTGAATATATGAATATGCACGGTCCCCCAATTAAGCTTCTAGGTCAGTGCCTGGAATTTCTAATTTGAGCATAAATTCAATCTCTTATTCATCTAGAAATGTAGTGAACTAAAATGGTAATAAATATTCTGACAGGACAGGATATTTGAAATGGGTATGTAAAAACAGTCTTTGTTTACATCACTGACTGTAATCTACTTAAAAAAACAGTGTTTTCAAAATCTCTGACTGTAATCTACTTCAATCTCTTATTCATCTAGAAATATAGTGAACTAAAATGGGAATAAATATTCTGACGGGGCAGGATATTTTAAGTATGTAAAAACAGTGTTTGTTTACATTACTGACTGTTTCATCACATATAGCTTTATTTCACAAAATATTTCATACCATAGTTTGGATGTGACAAAGATGTCCTCTCGTTTCATGCCAAGTTCTTTCAGGACCTCTGTGAACGCCTGGCCAACTTCGGCTTCATTGGAGTAGGCATGAGCACAGTCAATATGCTTGTATCCAGCTCTGATGGCAGCTTTCACTGCTGCCCCGACCTCACCTGGCTTGGATTTCCATGTTCTATACAAGATAAATACAATATTTTCTTTAACTCAAAGGCCCACCTTGCAATATAAGGCATAACTTGAAATGGCTTAGGCCGCTGTGCTTAAAAAAGGCCACAGTTCTTTTCATGAGTAAAGTTAGTCCTTCAAGCATTCATTTTGTAAGAAGAGATTATTTGTTTTTAACAGGTGTACTGGCAAAATTTCAATGAATCTGAACTCCTTTATGCACATTACTAGAAGGCAAAAGTTTTCGAACATAATGAAAATCAAATTTTGCAAGATTTGAGTGTTTTTTTAACAGATACAAATAGGAGCAAACGAAAAAGGACTACGGTATAATACATGATTTCAAACAGTTTCATGTGCATTTTTACAAAAATGATGCAGAGCCTCCGTAACTGGGCATCAAATTTAGTTCATAGGTGCCTTGAATATCTCTCAAAAAAGCCTGTGTTTATCCTAAGTCATCACAAGTTTATCTATTGCAGTAAACAAGATGTTAGTTAATGCTTGCCATTGGCATATCCAACTTAATGATTTAGTCTTGCTATGTTCATTGACTAAAAATTATAATTATAATCACTTAGTTTGCGGAACACAACTAAATTGTCAGGCTCTCTACGTCACAGATTCAAGCACAGTTGATATAGTATAAAAGTATTGTTACATTTGAAATGTCACTGGCATGATAATATACATGGCTTTGATGCCAAATTTCTTGAAATTTATGTGTTTGCAGGCCAAAGCACTGAGTATACAGTAGATAAATCAGACTCACAACATTTCTCTAATGTTTATACAATTGATCTAAATTGCTGGAGTAATGATGAATATTATGCTAAAAGCTGTTTAACACGCTGGTTAACAAGCCAAAGTAATGACAGACAGTGAGATGTAATGGTATACATCTGGCAATACAATCTCCAAAGGTTCTGACTTGACAGTTGACATTTTAGTACAGTTCAAAGTCGTGCAATGAAACTGGCTTAATTTGGACAATAAATTCTAGATTTTCCCCCTAATCTGCCACCAAAATATATTGTTCAGATATTGAACCCCTAGCACACTGTAGAAAATCAATTACTACCAATATTTTTCCAATTACTACGTTTGCTTTGTGTGATCTATTCAAACTGCACTGCCATGTCCATTGTAAATATTGTGTAATACCAGAATGTCTGTACATAAATCCACGCCAAATGCGGTCAATTTTATCTAGAAAGTAGAAACGTGTTGAATAACTAGAAACGTGTCTAATAACTTACCCCAAGCCAATGGCGGGCATCACTGCTCCTGTGTTAAGTTTGAACGTCTTTGGCTAAGAAAAAAATAGAAAAAAATCCGAATAAAACCTTACAAATGCGCGCAATTATGATCAAAATATGCCGAATATGGTACATTAATATATATAAACCATGTGTGATTTTTTGGCACTTCAATCGATGTAGGTAAATTCTAAAGGTTGAAAGGGTCTTAATTTCGAGTGGAAATTATACACAATTCAAATTCAAGCCAGGGAGAGTTGATGCAAAAATGAGTCAACTGTAGGTTCTTCGGCAGGAATCGAACCATCGCTTGACTTATGCGATGCCAGTGCAATGCTTTTGCCACGTCCAAGATGCCAATATCAAGAGCATTACGTCGGCATCGCAAAGCGTAGGTTTGATTCCTGCCGAAGGACCTATAATTGACTCATTTTTCCATCAACTGTTCCTGGTTTAAATTTGAAGTGTGTATAATTCCACTCGAAATTAAAGACCCTTTAAACCTCTATATAAACCATGGTACAATTGGTTGCAATAATTTTGGCGCTTGAGCAAGGTAGAGCTAGAATAAACACATCACAGCAATGCTTACTCAAAGTTTTACCTCTAAAATGACTTACCAGTTCCATTTTTATTGATTTTTGTGGAAAAATGAAGCAATTTTTTGCCCAGAATTGATCGTCTTCTCTCGATTCGGAAATCGGAATAAAAAGAACTAATTAGCATAACACCCGATTTATATACCCGATGAACTCTTTTTCCTAACTGGAGCATGAACTGACTGCTCAAAAGGACTTTTGTACATAAGGAATAGAGAAATTTTTTTCGTTTTTTTTATACACTTATAGAAGTTTCGGGAGAACGAGAAATTATCAGTGGGAAAACGAGTCAGTAGAGCGAGTTTCTACACGTTATTTCGAGTTCTTCCAAAATCCCACGCGTGTTTCTATAACGGCATAGAAACACAGGAAATATAATTATAATTATAATTATAATTCGATTCAATTACAAATTCTCATTACACTTTTCAATTTCGGCGGAAAAAGTCCCGTACTTCTAGACAGTAATAGAAACATGCTTCTCGACCAATCAGCAAGCGCGTACAAGAAGGGGGAATTCAGTTTTACACATTCAGAAAGTTGGTTTCATTTTCAGTAATTCAATCAGAATGCATGAATTTTGAATACTTCCGCTAAAAAGGTACATTATTTAACATTTTACATGAAGTATCAACGACGCGTTTGACGTCATCAGTGAAAAAGGTCTATTAATAAACCAATCAAATGAGTTCATTATTCATACATTGTTCACACAACAACAGCAGCGTGCCAGCATCTTTTCTTAGACATTTCTGGAAGTTCTTCCCAAGAATAACTTTCAAAGTTGAAACCTTCAACTGACTTCTGATCTTTTCCCTTGTCATCTCCCCCCAGGACTACAATGTTGTTTTCAATAACAACTGCAGTACATCCCTTCCTCTTACATCTCATTGATGGCAGCATGTGACTTTGTTCTGTCTTGACATTATAAATGATAACTGTATTCAATGGCTTGCCATGTTTGTCAGCACCACCAATAACAACAATGTTGTCTCCCCATCTCACAGTTGCCATACGACTCACTTCATACGGCAGTGGTGACAACTGTTTCAGCTCATTCTTCTTTATATCGTACAGTAAGACACTGCTGAGGTTGTCTTCGTAACTGCCAGTTGTTCTTCCACCAACTATCAACAAATTATCATCAAATATTTCCATGCTGTGGCATTGTCTTGGTTCTGGCATTCTTGATAAGGTCTTCACAGCATAGGGAGGAACAAGCTGGACTGATCTGATCAAGTCAGATGAACCAATTCCATTATCACCTCCAGAGACTTTCAACTGATCATTATACAGCACACTGCTGTGGTTATTCAACTTATCAGGTAGTTTAACAGGACAGTCACTCCAGTGTGTTGAGAGAACAGAGTTTGGGTCAATATTCATTCTAATCATATCATCAACAACGTCAGATCCAGCACAGCAACCCCCAGCTATAGTCATATGATTGTTATAAACAAACGAGGTTGCATTACAACGTTGCTTTGGAATTGATTGTAATGGCGACCATGTTCTTTGACGCCAGTTAAACATCTCAACAGTGTTAGTTCCTAAACCTCCAGCAACAATTATATTTTCCTTATCACCACTTGGTCTATTTCTTACTTTTCTTGTGTTTTCTTCTATCTTGCCCTCCATCGTGGTAAGAACGTCCTTCATTTCATCAAAAGCTCTGACCAAAGTTGCTTTCATTCCTTTGACTTCGTTGTTAACCGCTTCGAGTTTTCCTTCCATATCTGCTTTTATATCTGCCGTGTTTTTCTCGATATTCGCAACAATGGCAACGTTTTTCTGCAAATTTGTTATTTTAGTCTCAATTTTTATATCATTCTTCTCGATATTCGCCATTCTTTCCTCCATATCCGCCAAAGTTTTCGTGATTTCTCCGCACGAGTGACACTTCAACTTTCGGAATTCACAGACTTCACTTTCATGGTGAATAAGATCACGCTTGTTGACAATTAAACCACAGCCTTGGTTTGTACAAACGGCTGGTGTATATCCACATGTATCTTCATGTCGGTCAAGATGCTGTAATTCTACAACTTCTTGACAACCTCTGTCGATGTAAACGCAACGAATTTTTGATTCGTTTAAAAAACCTTTCACCATTCGTTGTGGTTCGGCCAAAGTCTCTAGGGTCAGTTCATCAGCACACGTTGGGCATGTTTGAGAATTTTCCAGATGTTTCGTAATGCAAGAACGGCAAAAACAATGTTGGTTTGTTGGACAGAGGACAGGCTCTTTCAACACGTTGAAGCAAATCTGGCAAAGGAAATTCTGATCGATTTTGTTCACAAACCTTTCTTCATCGTAGCCTTGTATATATAAAGCCATATTTCACGTCGTTCTTGTGTCGTAATAATAAAGCAAGTTCTGTGTTGTTTGTCGCTCTCTAGTATAAACCTCGCTGTATAGACTGAATATAGATACAGTGTTCGTTCTTGGAGAAGTCTGTGTTTGTATTTTCTCTGAATCTTTGATAAAATAACGTCTTTAAAACGGCAGACAAATATCGCTTCCGTATATTAAAAGGGTTTACAGCGTCTTTTGTCGACAGGAACTTGCTTGATATTATATTTTCATGTCTTGTGACAAAAGGTCATTGACCTATTCAAATTTGACTTGCAATTGGTTGTGTTTATGTTGGTATTTGCATGAATAATAAAGACATTGTGTTGATAATATGCATAATATGTATATCCTTCAAATGTCAAAATGGCAAAGCCTCACGTCGTTATCGCAGTTTATGGCAGTAAAATAAATATACAAACGCCTTACATGACGTTTATGCATGACTTATGCGATCGAATTGCCAGAATAATATACAGTGTTGCCAGATAAAATTTCGAAACATTCATATTCGCTTACGTCAAAAGTTCACAAAAATGACAAAAAGTTCATCTATCTAAATTTTAAGATCGGAAAGTATCGGAAAACGTCGGCATATGTCGGGATATCGTCGGAAATTGTTGGAGATTATCGAGATTGACCCACTGGTCTGGATTGACAGGATTCATCGCAATTCTCCCAAAGGAGATAAATACCAAATAAAAATGAGAAACAACTCTATTTAAAAACATGAGAAGCAACTCTTTTTAACAATTTTAAAAAGTTCATAAAAATTTCGCAAATCTTAGAAGTTCATAAAAAGTTCATAAAGAGAGCAAAAAGTTCACAATGACACGAATCTGTGAACCTTGTTCACGATCTGGCAACGCTGGTAGTTTATTAGCTCAGTGAACTCTAATTAGACTGGAACGCTCACTCTAGATCTGTCGAAAGTTTGAAGCCAAAATGGCGGACAAAAATTTACCTCGAAAATGACTTACCAGTTCCATTTTTATTGATTTTTGTGGAAAAATGAAGCAATTTTTTGCCCAGAATTGATCCTCTTCTCTCGATTCAGAAATCGTATACAAAAGAACTAATTAGCATAACACCCGATTTCATATACCCGATGAACTCTTTTTCTAAACTAGAGCATGAACTGACTGCTCAAACGGACTTTTCTACATGAGAAATAGAAATATTTTCCGTGTTTTTATACACTTATAGAAGTTTTGGGTGAACGAGAAATTATCAGTGGGAAAACGAGTCCGTAGAGCGAGTTTCTACACGTTATTTCGAGTTCTCCCAAAATCCCACGCGTGTTTCTATAACGGCATAGAAACAAAGGGAAAATTTATTTCAAAATGTATTTTATTCTATTTCTTTTAAAAGATAACTCAATAAAAAGATTTTGTACAAATATTATAATTCGATTTAATTACAAATTCTCATTACATTACTTCGCTTTCAATTTCGGCGGGAAAAGTCCCGTGTTTCTATACAGTTATAGAAACACGCTTCTCGACCAATCAGCAAGCGCGTACAAAAAGAGGGGATTTGGTTTTACACATTCAGAAAGTTGGTTTCATTTTCAGTAACTCAATCAGACTGCATGAATTTTGAATGCTTCCACTGACAAGGTACATTATTTAACATTTTACATGAAGTATCAACGACACGTTTGACGTCATTATGAAAAAGTCTATTAATAAATCAATCAAATGAGTTCATTATTCATACATTGTTCACACAACAACAGCAGCGTGCCAGCATCTTTCTTTAGACATTTCTGGAAGTTCTTCCCAAGAATAACTTTCAAAGTTGAAACCTTCAACTGACGTTAGTATTGCTTGCCCACTCTCCCCTCCCAGGACTACAATGTTGTTTTCAATAACAACTGCAGTACATCCCCTCCTGTTACATATCATTGATGGCAGCATGTGACTTTGTTCTGTCTTGACATTGTAAATGATAACTGTATCTAATGGCTGCCATTGTTTGTCTTCGCCACCAATAACAACAATGTTGTCTCCCCATCTCACAGTTGCCATATCACTCACTTCATACGGCAGTGGTGACAACTGTTTCAGCTCATTCTTCTTTATATCGTACAGTACGACACTGCTGAGGTTGTCTTTGAGAATGTCAGTTGTTTTCCCACCAACTATCAACAAATTATCATCAAATATTTCCATGCTGTGGCATTGTCTTGGTTCTGGCATCCTTGATAAGGTCTTCACAGTATAGGGAGGAACAAGCTGGACTGCACTGATCAAGTCAGATAAACCATTTTCATTATGACCTCCAGAGACTATCAACTGATCATTATACAGCACACTGCTGTGGTTTTCCAACTTATCAGGTAGTTTAACAGGACAGTCACTCCAGTGTGTTGAGAAATCAGGGTTTGGGTCAATATTCATTCTAATCATATCATGAACAATGTCAGACCTACCACACCAACCCCCCGCTATAGTCATATGATTGTTATAAACAAACGAGGTTGCATTAAAACTATTCTTTGGCATTGATTGTAATGGCGACCATGTTCTTTGACGCCAGTTAAACATCTCTACAGAGTTAGTTTGTAGACCTCCAGCAACAATTATATTTTCCTTATCACCACTTGGTCTATTTCTTACTTCTCTTGTGTTTTCTTCTTTCTCGCTCTCCATCGTGGTAAGAACGTCCTTTATTTCATCAAAACCTCTGACCAAAGTTGTTTTCAATCCTTTGACTTCGTTGTTAACCGCTTCAAGTTTTCCTTTCATATCTGCAACGTTGTTTTCTCCATTCTTTTCTATAGTTGCAATCCTTTCCTCCATTTCTGCCAAAGTTTTCGTCATTTCTCCGCACGAGTGACACTTCAACTTTCGGAATTCACAGACTTCACTTTCATGATGAATAAGATCACGCTTGTTGACAATTAAACCACAGCCTTGGTTTGTACAAACGGCTGGTGTATATCCACATGTATCTTCATGGCGGTCAAGATGCTGTAATTCTACAACTTCTTGACAACCTCTGTCGATGTAAACGCAACGAATTTTTGATTCGTTTAAAAAACTTTTCACCATTCGCGGTGGTTCGGCGAAAGTCTCTATGGTCAGTTCATCAGAGCACGTTGGGCATGTTTGGGAATTTTCCAGATGTTTCGTAATACAACAACGGCAAAAACAATGTTGGTTTGTTGGACAGAGGACAGGCTCTTTCAAGACGTTGAAGCAAATCTGACAAAGGAAATTTTGATCGATTTTGTTAACAAACCTTTCTTCATCGTAGCCTTGTATATATGAAGCCATATTTCACGTCGTTCTTGTGTCGCAATAATAATAAAAGTTCTGTGTTGTTTGTCGCTCTGTAGTATAAACCTCGCTGTATAGACTGAATGTAGTAGATACAGTGTTCATTCTTTTCAATATTTGCGAATATTTACTTGAAATCTTTGAGAAATAATTTGTTAATAACAGCAGACAAATTTTTCTTCCACATAAAGTTTTTAAAGCGTCGTTTGCAACGAGGAGCGAGCGTTGTTATGGTTGCCACGACTGGTGGCCATTTTGCAGGTGTTCCAAATTAAAGCGCGTTAGTATACAAAACATCCGAATTAAAGTCCGATATTTTTCGTGGGAATCGACATTTTACTTTTGTTTCAGAACTCTTAACTGCAACCACCTGGAACAAATTGCTCAAATACAAAGGAATAAAGTCGCTTCGCGCGAAAAATATCGCTAGTGGAAAACCAGCTTAATAAAAACCTCGCTGTATAGACTGAAGGTTATAGATAGATACATATATATAGATACAATGTTCGTTCTTGGAGAAGTCTGTGTTAGTGTTTCTTTGAAATCTTTAACAAATATTTCGATTACAAAGCTTTCTTTCGTAAACCGAAATTCTGCTGATAAGAAATATTGGAATTTTTCATTTCTTTCTGACAAAAGGTAGCAAAGCCCCTCGCAACAACGTATTCTCTTGGGATTAAAGGAATGGTAGTGTCTTGCTATACAGGGTGTCTCAAAAAACCCGAAAACTATTGAAATCACTCTTTGTTAAAATTTGAATGCCGTGTTAACAAATTTTAGCCGAAAAATGATTTGAAATTGTGAATATGATTAAGTTTAAATTAACCTTGTTATTGCTTCAAAAGAAAATGGTACAGCTGACCACGGAACAACGAGTGTTTATTGCGAAACGCTTTTCGACAAAGGTCGACAAAGGACAAATTGTAAATATTGTTAATAAATATTTTTGCGTGCAAAAAATTTTACTGCATCATGCATAAAAATGCGTATGGCAAACATTTATACACCTGTGGGTCCCAACAGAGTGCTTAGGCATTCAAACTCTATCAAATACATTATTATGGGTGATTTCAATAGTTTTCGTTTTTTGGAGACACCTTTAGTTATGCGGGGCTTGATATTGTTTGCATAAGAAATAAAATATCCACACTGTGTGAAAATATTCCTAAAATATTATTTTCTCGTACAAATGTTATATGTGCTTATCAACGCATTCAAGACGGTATAACGAACAAAAAATAATAATTTAATGTTCATTAAATCCGAATTAAACGAATTACAGCTATTTGCAAGCCAGCGTTAACCGTGAAGTTTTTGTCACGTTTATTTACGTTTAAAACTTTTGGGTTGAGCCTGAAACGTTGAATGTTAAACTATAAAGCAATCAGGTTACCTTGTGATATTTTGACAGTTGGGCGGAGCCTGTCAAAATTGTCGAAATATCGCAGTGTGACCTGATTGGTTTGTAGTTTAACGTTCAACGTTTCCCGTTAAATCCAAAAGTTTGAAAGGTAAACAAACGCGATAAAAACTTCACGAATTGAAGTTAATGAGTTCACGGCAACCAGGTATACAGGGTGATTAAAAAAAAACGGACACTTTGAAATTCAAATTAGTCGCATAGGTGCTGTAATGTGATAGAAGTTGCTTAAAATATTTCATAGATATACAAAGCATATCATATTAATTAACCTAAGACATAAAGTTTGTTCCCATTGGGAGTTAAAATGCATTCTAAGCTCTGTGAATACAAAAGAACAGTATTATCAAATCGTTTTTGCTGATTGTACATGGGAATTGTCATATTCCAGCCATAAGTTCGCAGCTAATTTGAATTTCAAAGGTGTCCGTTTTTTTTGACTCACCCTGTATAATCCATCGTAATTATCGCTACTCTGGTTTTAATAAATGAAAGTAATCAGCACACAAAGATTAACTTGGGTCGTGAAAGTTAATATTTGTGTGGTGATTACTTTCATTCATTAAAACCAGAGTAGCGATAATTACGATGGAAAAACTTCACAGTTAACACTGGCTCGCAAATAACTGTAAATCTTTGAGATTAGTTTAGATTTGAGGTTAGGTTAAAGGACTTTTATAGGACTAAAGTTTGGTTATGTTAAATATTATATCTTTAGCACAAGAGCTTCTTTGCAAATGCGAGTCACGACTCGAAAATTTCTCAGCAACCACTGCCGCCAAATTTGTTATATAAATATATAGAGGTCAGCGGTGACCTGATAAGGTGCTGGTCACTGATCTCATATTACACAGGATTAAGCAACTATACCTATCGAAGATAAAGCCAGAATTATTGGCCTCAGTACCAAATGAAAAGTATTAAAACATCACGGGAATCTTAGGAAGAGTCTTCAACGGTTAGGGCTTCCACGTTGCTCATATTCTGCAAATTTTCTCCAAGTACAGAGGGCTCAGTTTTCCAGCGGTCTTCGCATAAAAAATTAAAAGCTTTTATGCACCGCTCTCAATTTTAAATAAGTTGTCCGCTGACAATATGACCCTGCACAAGTCGGAGAAATTTACTTATTTGGACCAGCGTGTTCAGTTAATCAGTTTCAGCCGTGTGCTGATAGCGACGCCCATAGGGTAAAGTTTTCCTCTGACTGGGTCGCTAAAAATCTATTAATTTTGGTTTCGATTTCTGTAGGTGTGTAATTGCCTACATCCAGTGCATTAACAGATCAGTGGTACGCGTTGCGCATTATACAGATGACGTCAGCAGCTGATTAAAGTGTCGTTTGTTGGTTTTCTGTGTCCATTACATCCACGGGTAAGCCATCTTCATCAAATCCTGGTATTGCTTCAACAGAAGGATATGACGATCCGTGATAGGGTGAATCTCTATCGAACTGCCACCCCCCTGATGAATACCGGGAAAGCGTGGATTCCCACCTTTCGCCTCCGCCGGTTTTGTATTTTGCTTGGTTATTTTTCCAGTTCGTGACACAACTAAAACGTTTGAAAGAAACATCAACTTCGTTCAATTTCATTTTTCAGTTGTGGATCCAGATCAGTGAACTCTATAACTCATGACAGACATCCCTATTGAGCTTGAAGCCAAAATAGTTTTTCTGAGTTTTGAGACGAAATACCTTACACTAGACGTTGGGCTGTGTGTCAAATTAAAGCTTTTGAAGAGTTATATTTGGTGTAGAAATCTCAAGACTTAAACTACAAAGGAAATATTTAAAAAAAAACAAAAACAATAACCAATCGGCAAAAACCGGGAAATTTGCAAATATTTTTTACATATTTCCCTTTAAGCTAAACTCTCGAAATTTCTACACGAAATAGAACTTTTTAATAGCTTTAATTTCATATACGGCTCAACATTTGGCGTTAAGTATTTCGGCTCAAAACTCAGAAAAAGTAAAAAAAACTGGCTTCAATTCCCCCCCCCTGAGTTATCGTTCCAGTTTGTTTACTGTTCAATGATCTAGATAGGTCAGAATAGATTACCACGCGACTCCAGTTTGCAAAAACAAGGAAGAATTTCGTTTTAAACCAATCGGCATATTTGTTTACATCTTTCAGGCAAAGCCAATCAGAATGCCTCAATTTTGAATACTTCATGTAAAATGGTAAATAATGTACCTTTTAACCGGAAGTAGTCAAAATTGATGCATTCTGATTGGGTTACTGAAAATGTAAACAAACTTAATGATGACTTGCAATATTATTGGTAGATTGTGAACAATTTAGCCGTGTTATTTATTATGACTCACTCGTAATCAGCCGCTGGCATTCCATGAATTTGTAACATAAAAGAATAGCACATTTAGCTTTTGTAAAAACTAATATTTTAAATTGTATATAAAGATAATGTAAAATCTATTCTGCGTAAGCTTGGCTTCGCAAAAAAATAGGCAACACTCCAAGTCCAGCGACATGACAGTCGGAGTAATCATAGAGCTTTGTAGTATTTTTTCGTTTAATTTCAATCAGAACACGAGAAACGATCACCGATCGATCGTTTAAAAAATAAAAGTTAAAAAAATTTCCAAACATTACCTCGCACTGTCAAACCCGTGGCGTAGCCAGAACGATAATTGGGGGGGGGGGGAGATGTTCACATATTCGTGATACGCAGGTTTAATTTCTTTTCAAATCAATTGTCTTTACAGTCTGTTAACATGAATATATGAATATGGGTCCCCCCAATTATCGATGCTGGCTACGCCACTGTCAAACTACTAAAAAAACTTAAATACGTAAATATATTTAAAAACGACTATTTTTTTGCTAGGTTTCATGCTCCGAAAAATAGAAGTCAGGCGAAATTTTGTTAGTTCTTTAAGGAAAAGGCACCCCTCCTCTTCCAAACTGCGCGAATAAGAAAAACGAAAAGGAGCTGGTGTTTAAGGACTTGGATTTGAAGATGACGACTAATTTCTCGTTCCAGTTAAATTTAGAGGTCAGCAGTCAAGGAAGATTAAGGAAATGTAGTTCATTTTAAACAAGGGTCTGACCTCTGATTGGCTGAATTTTCAACGTACACAGATCAGTTGGCTGGCTAATTTCAGATATGCAGTCGATATAATAGAAAAAAATTATTGATGACTTACAGTATGATCGAAAATACCACAAATATTATCAGCAAGACACCACCAAGTGAACCGCCTAAAATAATCGGCCACTTTTCACCTTCTTCTTCTTCTTCATCGTCTGGGCTGATCACGATAGGATCAATTGAAAGTGGTATCTTGCAAAGCTGAGATTCAAATTTACCGCCGATTGCACCACGTATAAGACGAGATTGAACCGCTGACCCCGTGTCATTGTTGATCGCAACGAAATTTACGGTGCTGTTATTAATGTGGATGAAAACTCGAATGTCTTCCTTTGTGAAGTTCCTGCGATTTTTGGGAAAAATATGAATATTAGTGAAGCATAGGTTAAAAACTCTTTTATTTAAGAATTAAAAAACGAGTCGCGTGCCTTTATGGTGTAATAATGCACGATGGGGGAATGTTGGGAGAATACGAGAGAAGCTTGTAAAGCACGAGGCGTAGCCGAGTGTTTTAAAAGCTTCTCGAGTATTCTTCCAACATTTCCCCGAGTGCATTATTACACCATAAAGGCCTTTTTTAATTCTTTTATAATATAAGAAGAAGTTATAGGGCAACAACAAAATTTATTTATTTGATCAATAATGAAATTCTCCTTACATGTTATTTAAGATGTTGCTTAGCAACAAAAGCCAGAAGCGTGCATTATGGCCTCACAATGCACGCGCGGTAGCCAATCAAATTGCTCGTTATATCATACTTATATTATAATATCTATCGCTTCTTTTGTAGGGCCGAAAACGAAAAATGCACAACTTCGTTGCACAAGATTACTCTTATAAAGAGAAACACGTTTATTGCACAAAATTTGTTGAGCAAAGTTTGTTTCTGGAGTATTTAAGATAACTGAAGCGAAAAAAGTCAAAATAGATTGGAAGTTGTTGATCCATTACCTTGATGTATCTTGCGAAAAATGTGGTGCATTAAAAAAACAAGACTGAAAGTTTTAAAAACAAAAAAAAAACACCGGAAACTTTGACTGAACCATTTTAAAGGAAAAAAAACCCAAAACGCAAAAAAAAATTGGAAGAACCAATTTCCACATTGTCTTTAAGATCGACATGTGATCTTCTTGTGAATTGCAAATATTAACAATTATTCGAGCTAAATATCGCTGAATAAAAATCGAGACGAAGTCGAGGTTTCTTTCGCCATTTTTTGTCTCATTTGTGCTTTTAGGTACGACTTTTTGTTTAAGGTAACTTAAAAAATCTTCATCTATCACCTTGACAAAAACAACGTGCCGCCATTTTGAAAAATCCCCTTCGGTGACTATCGCGTCATAATCCGAAGGCATTCGACGAATCACATGCCAGAATTTTCAACAACCACCTTTGTTATTATGCTAACAAAATCGAATCAATCTTACCGAGATTTTGGACAAAGTTTGGCCTCAGAATCGTTGCTACAGTATTCTCTTAATTCGTGGGCAATTGAAACCTTCACGTCCAGCCTCACATTCTAAAAGAAGAAATTTCAACCATCAACAATTAACCATTATTATATGTGTATAGAGATTTATGCACAGCAGAATGATGAAATAAAAAAAATCGTATTTCACTGTGTGAATTAATTTTATGTAGTTTGATTGGACGTACGATGTTTTTCACGTGTGAAAAAATGCCATACACGGCTTTTGATTGGACGTACGATATTCTTCATACGTGAAAAATTGTCGTATGTCATTTTGGCCGCAATTTGTTTACATTTTCTTTCAAGATGGCGTCGAAATATAGGAGTGAGATTCAAAACATAATTCTCATATTCAAGATATTTTTACATTCAGCACATTCTCAAATCTTTTGGAAAGAAGAGCTAACTTCTATTGAACAAAATTACTGTGAAACTTAACGCTAATAAATATGTTTTGATGCATAAAATTTCGATTTTTGTTGCTCGCTGTGTTTAAATTTTTGTATATTAAAAGCGTGTCGTTGTCAAATTGATCTCTATACACATTTAATAAACAAATTACCTCATGGTTGGCTCGTTTGTACGATTTTTATTATGAACGAGTTGCGAAGGATCGCAAACTCACTCGTTCGCTACGCTCACTCCTTCGTTTTGCGACCCTTCACAACTCGTGCATAAAAATCGTACGCACTCGCCAACCATGAAGTAATCTCTATTTACAATGGGACATTTGTGGTATTAAAAAGAACAAATTTGAACTGCAAAGACAAGACGAGTTTGAAATTACCTGGGTTGTGTTTGAGCCTATTGATAAAGGAATCAGATTTTTTCTTTCTTCTTCACTCAAAGTCGGATTGCTGATCATTTTTTGGACAATCATATTTGCTCGCGATAAAATATTTTTAGAAGGACAACTAAATATTGTTGTTAAAAGATCCAATGGCATCGTTCCCGATGGCAATTCCACAAAGAATGAGAGTATTAAATCAGTTCCATTCTGAACGGGAGAATCAGGCAGAATCTTCACGATATCTAATTTTATACCAGCAATTTCATCACTAGAAGAAAGAAAATTGAACTATAGAAAGAACAGTTCTCGATTATTTTTCAAAAAAATGTTTTCTTGGGGCTGCTGAGCTTTTAATCCCACTCAATAGCGTTAGTTTTAGGTAACATTTTCAACAAAGTGTTTTCGAAAATTTACTTATGAAAAATCTGCCCTCTGCCAATTGAATGGGGTTTTAAGATTTTTCCAAACCAGAATGCAGAAAAGTCTCTGCATGATATAAAATTTCAAAATCTTTTAAACTTTCTTGGCATTATTCCTATACAAAAAACTCTATCGTGTTCTATCCTGGAAAATCGTGGTCTCCATTTGGAAAAATACCAAATTGCTTTAAAAAAATGATGCATCGATTTTGCAACGTCTTAAGACCAAACCAAATGTTATCATTAACACAAAACATAAAAAATTACTTTGCATTTGCCAACGAAGCAAATGGACCTAAGTGTTTTCTATCAATTTTGCAATGTCTCAAGACCAAACCAAGTGTTAACATTAACACAAAACATAAAAACTATTTTGCATTTGCAAACGAAACAAATGGACCAAAGTGTTCTATGAAAAAGATGTAGTTTTTCATGCTAATTTTAACGGCTGTCTTCAATATTCATCGTTTATCTGACAGAGATTTTAAAGAGATTTGCAACACAAGCTACCCACCTTTTCAGTTGGCACAAATCCAAACGTAAATTATCCTTCCCACAAAACTGAGATATCGCACTTGACATGTTTTCCCGAAACGATGTTTCATAATCCTGCCACTAAAACACATTTTAATATCTTGGATTAAAATTAAAATCAAATTACTATTTAAATACAGGAAAGGTTGAAATCTTTCTATTTATAAAGCCATGAATTAAATGTTCGTCTTGTAAGGGTACCACCATGTAATGTTTACGATTTTGTGGCATTTCACTGGGATGAAGAAATATAATTTATAAATTATTATTAAAATATATTGAATTATTAGGTAATTAACAATGAACATAGGCTAAAGCTTTAGAAAAAATCACATGTTTCCAATTTTAGTATACCCTTCTTTCTGGAAATGTAGCTGCCTTTTTTGGTCAAATTGGTTGTAGAATGGAACATTGGTCTTTAGGCAAGTTTTGGTACTTAATTTCAGTAAAAACACGTACCTTATCAACTTGAGTGTTCAACAGGCGCACAGTGATAGCCTGGTTTTTCTGCTCTGGCGAAACTACTGGTACATTATCAGACGCCAATTGCAAGGTTAAACTGGAGATGGTTGATGTATCATCCAGTGAGAATGACCGATGAAGTCCATCTTCTACGACAGCAGAGGAGATTGGTGTAGTTGTACCTGGTTCGTTGACCACGATGCTGACTTTAGTATCAGTTCCATCGGCAGCAACCGAATTTGTTATCACATCAACATCGTCCTCGGTAAATTTATTATTCCTAAAGAAGACAGGAACGTTTTGCGTTTAACGATTTATTTTAAATAATTTAAAAGGAAAATTAGTTTAGAAAATTACAGCTACTTCTGAAAGCAAGAAAGAATATATCAGTTCCGAAATATCACGTAATAATAGCTCAGTTGGAAAGCATTGGACTAGCAAACCGATTTGTAGGACTAGCAAACCGATTTGTAGGACTAGCAAACCAATTTGTAGGACTAGGAAACAGATTTGTAGGACTAGCAAACCGATTTGTAAGACTAGCAAACCAATTTGTAGGACTAGCAAACCGATTTGTAAGACTAGCAAACCGATTTGTAGGACTAGCAAACCGATTTGTAAGACTAGCAAACCGATTTGTAGGACTAGCAAACCGATTTGTAAGACTAGCAAACCAATTTGTAGGACTAGCAAACCGATTTGTAGGACTAGCAAACCGACTTGTAGGACTAGCAAACCGATTTGTAGGATTAGAAAACCGATTTGTAGGACTAGCAAACCGATTTGTAGGACTAGCAAACCGATTTGTAAGACTAGCAAACCGATTTGTAGGACTAACAAACCGATTTGTAGGATTAGCAAACCGATTTGTAGGACTAGCAGACCGATTTGTAGGACTAGCAAACCGATTTGTAGGACTAGCAAACCGATTTGTAGGACTAGCAAACCGATTTGTAGGACTAGCAAACCGATTTGTAGGACTAGCAAACCGATTTGTAACCACTTTATCCGGTTTTTAACTCAGAGTAGCAACGTCACAATATTAAGTCACCTGATTCATATACATTATCACTGGGGTACTAACCTGACATCGCGTTTCTTTCTTGACCTTGACAAGAGTAAACAAAAAAAATTAAATAATTATGTCTGGTCGCTTTATGAGACATTGATGAAAGTTTCATTAATTGTTAATTGTATAAATATTAAAATTCGAACTTACAAAGATTCTGAAATGGTAATATTGCAGGTATTCTCAGCCGTGCTGAAACAGTATACCGTCATTCTTTCTGCAACAGTCACTTTAAGGTCCATTACTGCCAAAGACGTAAACTATTTGCAAGAGATAAAAGAGAAGTTAGTAGCGAAGTCAATGTCAAAACGATATCAGAATGATATAGCAGAACCTTTGGGCTTTCCAATAAAACCAACAAGGAGGAATCTCGTTTTAAACTAATCGCCATCTTTGTTTACATTTTTTATGCAAAGCCAATCAGAATGCCTAAATTTTTAATACTTCATGTAAAATGGTATATATTGTATTTTTATCAAAATTTATGCATTCTGATTGGGTTAATAAAAATGTAAACAAACGTGCTGATTGGTCTAAAACGAAATTCCCCGTTGTTAATATAGCCTAGAGTCACTTCATAGGTTTTACATAACCGGGACTGGCCTTTATAAACGATATGGACAGAAATGGGTTGAATTCTCCCATAAAACAAGGTGAAATTCGTTTTGGACCAATCAGCAGACTTGGTACAGTTTACATTTTCAGTAAACCAATCAGAATGCACAAATATTAACTACTTTCGGTAAAATATTCTGTAAATTATTCAATGCAGTGTATATCTTTCAGCTGACCTTCTTAAATTGGATCTTCAAAGATAGCGTTACATTGTTACGTTTTTGCGCAGGCGACAGGACGCGTTGTTCAGCTCCTATACTCTGTTCCTGATTTTGAAGTTCACTATCCACTGAGAATATATTATTTTGTTGCTCCACAAAGACGGTAGCTAAGACGGATTTGGGTACAGTGCCTTTCCCGCCTGGTAGAGTTGCGTAAAATTTTAGAATTGAATTGGGTCCATCCTGCTCTGGTGAGCCTGGTAGCCTTCGAATGTTCTTTGAAGTGAAGTTTTTCAAATCATCTCTAAGGAGAATATTTATGAGGACGTTAGCAACAAAACCAAAAATTAGCAAAATTACGAAAAAATTTACGAAGAATGCGATGGGAATTAGCGACTCACTGTGAGATGTTGCAGAGTTTCAGATGATAGGAAGAGGTGTTACAGAATTCTTGAATCCCTTCGGCCATTTTACGAAGGAACCTGACATCCCGGTCCGGCCACTAAAAGAAATTTTCAAAGTTTAAATTTGGTTGTCTCACCGGCATTTTTTTTCATCAATCATTTTATCATTTTAATAATAAAGCTAAAGGTCATTTCACACGGTGCAATTTTTCTTGCAACTTGCAATGCAATCTACTATTAAGAGATGTAAATGAGTGAAGAGTCTTCAAAATGAAAGTGTAAGAAACGCCATGAAGTGTAATAAAGACAAACGTTTGGTATTTGCCAAATTTACATCTCTCAAAAGAAGAATTAAATTGCAATTTGCAGGAAAAATTGCACCGTGTAACAGGGCCTTAACACAATTAGGTTATTCTTAAGCAAAATATTTGGTGGTCTTCTCTCAACATTGACCACTTAAAATTGGTGTAGAATGTAAATGAATTACAACCAATTTCAGTGGTAATCTTACCCAGATGTTTCTGATAGATTCCATTGATCTGAACTCGCAGTGAAGAGACAGTCGTTCGAATCCTTTCAACCCGAGGTAAAATAATTGTGGTAGGTAAAATCATAGTTATCGTACCTTTTCGACTGTGAAATTCTTCAAAACAACAGAAACTGCATTATCTTCATTTTCTCGAGTAGGAGGTGTTAAAGTTCCCTCTTCAATAATCGGCTTTTTAATTAATGTGATGTCTAATTTAGAATTAGTTTTGATGAAATCGAGTTTGTCTCCAACAATTATACGCAAAATCTCCTCAGACATCACGCCTCCACCAGGATAATTGACATAAAATTTGATTTCGGCGCTGGTTCCGTTTTGCGTTGGGTATCCTGGCGCACGTTGTACGTTTGGAAGTGTAAAAGATGCATCACCGCTAAAATAAATGTAAGGTAGATTGTTGGGTTTGCATAGAGATTTTCGCAATCTAATTAGATGAAATATACATCATTCTACACTCTGGGTAGTTCTGATCTAAAACCCCACACGAGCAAAAACGAGCGAACACGAATGAAATACGAGTGATCACGAGAGCACACGAATGAAACACGAGTGATCACGAGAGCACACAAGCAAAAATAGATTAAATATTGTGTTTACTTTTTTCGCTCGTGTTTCACTCATGTTTCACTCATGTTTCACTCATGTTTCACTGGTGTTTCACTCGTGTTTAACTCGTGTTTCACTGCTGTTTCACTCGTGTTTCACTTATGTTTCACTCATGTTTCACTGGTGTTTCACTCGTGTTTAACTCGTGTTTCACTGCTGTTTCACTCATGTTTCATTCATGTTTCACTGGTGTTTCACTCGTGTATCACTCGTGTTTAACTCGTGTTTCACTCATGTTTCACTCATGTTTCACTCGTGTTTCACTCATGTTTCACTCGTGTTTCACTCATGTTTCACTCGTGTTTCACTCATGTTTCACTCGTGTTTCACTGGTGTTTTACTCGTCTTTAACTCATGTTTCACTCGTGTTTCGCACGTGTTTACTTCTGTGGAAAGTGTATCTCTGGAAATTTTTTACAAATATTAACACAACAATAAACAGACGTACCCAGGAAGTGTGCATTCTTGAGTTTTCGCTTCGCTTTCTGTACAGAAGTCGGCAATCGCCTTAGCAATGTATCCTCGGAATCTGTTGTCTTGAATGGCTGACCACTAAACCATCAACAAAAGGACAAAAAACTAATAATATTGAACACCAGAATAAAACGACGCGTGTGAAAACTTGACTGTTGTAAAAAGCTTCTCGAGGCATCAAACTGTTCGCAATTTTTTTCCAACGAGTTTGCTACACACGAAATTTTCAGTACTTCATGTAAGATGGTATATAATAATAAATTTATGATATATTAATAAACGCTTTAAATAACTATAAATATAGGCACGTTACAGGCTTTTACACAGATCAGTGGCTAAGCTGAGTGAGCGCGCAGTGGATTTTATGGAGGTCCTCCCTAAATTAAATTACCTCGTCAGCTTTGGTGTTTGACACGTTCATTGTCACAGCGTTGGAAAGTTGTTCTTGGGATGCTGACGGGGGTGATGGCGCCAGAGTCGAGGTCTCAACTTGTAATTTAAGGCTGGTTTCTGATTCGATGTTTCGAAGTTCCTCGGTCAGGATTCCCGCAAGAAAGTTGAGTTGGATTGGCCCATTACCAGACGGATAGTTGACGAATAAAGTGTAAGTGGAGTTATCGCCATCTGGTTCAGGTGAACTTGCATTTCGAGTCACATGGGAAAAGTTAAACGACACTGAACCGCTGGAAAACAGAAGATGCAGAGGTGCCTTTAATTTCGTTCTAACTGCCATCACAGAATAGACATTACACCAAAAGTCTCACTCTTTGCATTTTGCTAATGTTTTCGTAAATTTTTCAGAAGCGCACGCGTCATTCTACGCAATTCTACGCGATCCTGGTGTCTGTAGGAACTTTGTACCCCCCATGAGAAAGTTCCTGCACACACCAGGATTGCATGAGCAAGATACAAACTGGATACTAAGCGCCATTATGCTTGCGTGTGCTCGCATTTTCGCTTGCATTAGGTGATGTCACCGACTCTCAAAAAAATCCAGACGCCAAATGCAAAGAGTGAGACTTCTGGTGTAATGTCTATTCTGTGCTACGGCGTAACTACGAGTACGAGATTCGTCATTCTCGAGCGTTCATTGCTTACGCCATCAGCCAAAACTCGTAGTCGTCGATTGTGCCTATGTAAACCCATTATTTACTCTGTCTTGGATATCACGTTGTGTTTGCTAAATTTCCATAATTCTAACCTGACAATGCGTTTACAATTCAACTTTGAAAGTTCATAATTTTCGTCAATTCATACCTTGTCAAACCACATACGACGGGATTTTTCGAGCAGTAATCTGCAACGTGCTTTGCGATTGAAATTCTGAATCTGGTGTCATCGATTGAGCTCCACTGCAAAGTACATATAGAATAGGAGAGGGTAAATCAATTATGATTTTTCGCACTTCACTCGATGCAGGAATATTTTAGAGGTTTAAAGGGTCTTAATTTCGAGTGGTATTATACACACATCAAATTCAAGATATTTGGGCAAGATTGAAGGTTTCTAACTAGTTTTTTTACCATAAGGTAACCCCCCCAACACAAGGCCCCCCCAAAAGCAGGCGCCCCCCCAACAGCGGGATGCCCCCCCCCCAACAGCGGGACGCCCCCCCAAAAAAGTGGGACCGCGCCCTCCCCCCCCAACAGCGGGACAGGAACCCCCCCAACAGCGGGACAGGCCCCCCCAACGGCGGGACGGCACCCTCCCCCCCAACGGCAGGACGGCACCCTCCCCCCCCAACAGCGGGACGGGTCCCCCTCTCAACAGCGGGACAGTGGCGCCCCCCTAACAGCGGAACGGCGCCCCCCCATGGCTATGCCCCTGGTCATACATTTCCGCAGGGAGTGTAAAACCTGAAGCATTGTGGCTTGAGCCTTTATGTCCCATCAAATATATTCCAATTATTATAAGCCTTCGCAATCCCCACCAGTAATTTTCATATTTCAGGATTACTGGGTTTTTATACCAATTCTTAGAAAGAATGTTCATCTTCAACTGTTGAATTTGATTGTATTGATTTGAAGGGTTTTAAAACACCCCCACCGGCCCTCTAGGAAGCCTTCCACTAAAAGCAATCTACTAACCTCAGCAGCCCTTTGATTAAGCATTTTAATTGTGACAGCATTAGCGGATTGTTCAGGGGAAGCCAGAGGCGGATTTGGTGGACCAAACGGTGTTTGAAGAGAGAAAAAGAGTGCAGATTCCGCCTGCATCGGGTCCAACTCGTTTTTGACAACAGAGGCTAAGATATGTTGAGCTAATGGTACACCGGTTTTACTTGGGTAATTGACGTAGAAACTGTAGTCAACACTGGCAACATCAGAAGGAGTAGATGACGAGGTTCGCTGGACATTAGTTTCATTGAAGGCCGCATCGCTACTTCCGCTATGTCGTAAAAAAGAAGAATATGTTTCATTTAAAATACTTTAAACTTTTGTCGAAGATTTTCTATATCGTAGAAATGTCTTTGCAAATGCACACTAGATCAACTCAAAGATATTATTGTGCTTGTATGTCGACCAGTGTTATAATACATTTAAAATGGAAGCCAACTGCGTATGGAAACAAACGGTTTGTTAACATTTTGAACTTCTTTACTCTTTGAAATACTTTGTGTTGTCGGAATATCGAACAACATTTAGGTTTGTTATTCCCTTAAATGAATATGAACTAGTGTTTTTGATAGGAGAGATTCGAAACATCGAAATTTGGGCAAAAATTTACATCTGAGAAGACTGAACACCTCGCATTGTTATGAGCAGAAGCGATGCGCAGAACCTACTTGATTTCCACTTTAAATTTTTTAATCAAAGCTACTCATGTCTAGTTAGACTGCCCCCTCCTGGTATGAATTTGGTAATTATGAAAATCAGGGGGGGGGACCGAATTGAAAACACTGAATTGTCGAATATTTTATAAAAAAGACTGGACATGACTTTCAGGATTTTACGTCACATTTCCAGTCAAAGACAGCAATTCCAGTTCTTTTTAATTCAGTGGACCTCGCTGATATGCACTATAAAAATAGAAATTTTATATATAAATGGTGATTTAAAAAAAAAATTTAAATACCCTGTTATTTCGCAATCTTGCGGTGTTTTCCCACAGTAAACGGCAGTGCGATTTGCAATTGACCTTCTCAAACGTCGGTCGATAAGATAGGTCCACTGCAAAAAAAAATCAAGGAGTCAGTTGATGTTGAATACCATACATGATATTCTTTTAAAGGATGTCTTTCGGACGATCCAAATTTGTCCCATCCAATTCACTTTTGATGGATGAATTATAGTCTGCTGACTTGCATTGTATATTGAATATTGTACATTTAGCCAATCCCACGCTTGCAAACGTTTGCTGGTTACCAGTTTTAATTCGTCTTAAACTCACGCATGCGCATAACTTACAAAAACGCCCAACGTCCAGGACAACTTTCATTTCGCATTTGCATTCCCGGGCGTAATCAAAATCTCCGGGCGGAATTAGTACCCTCGCCCGGTGCTTCGCACCGGCTCGGGGATGATGTTATGCTTAAGTACAAGCATTTCCTTCTGGTGCTTACTGTGTGCGAAAAGCTGTAAAAAATATTACAGTCTAGGTAATTATTCATTTCTTGCATTCGGAAAAAAATTGCGCAATTCGGAAATTTTCGTTTCACACCCCCCCCCAACTATAACAGGCTAGCTACGGCCCTGCATTGAACGCTAACTTGGCCGCCATCTTTGAAGGCCAATTTAAAAGCAGATTTTCTTTCAGAGTTTTTGAACGTTTGAGACGGATGTAGAATGTAATTAACTAGGAATATCTAGAACCATGTAAAATACAATCATTTGCCAATATTTATAAAAATTTATCGAAAAACTGAGTCAAAAACTTATCTTCAATTTTTTGCTTAAACCAAATATAACGCTGAACTGTATATAGGAGTTAGCGTTCCAGGTTATATTATACTTCACTGGCATTGTATAGAAAATCAAGTAAATCAAGTATTGAAAGCAAATCAAGTAAAGCCGGTTTTCCACTAGCGATATTTTTCGCGCGAAGCGACTTTATTCCTTTGTATTTGAGCAATTTGTTCCAGATGGTTGCAGTTGAGAGCCTTGGAACAAAAGTAAAATGTCGCTTCGCGCGAAAAATATCGCTAGTGAAAAACCAGCTTAATGCAAATGCAGTTTTGGCCTATCAATAACAGACTAAATTCCATATCTAAGACGTGGTTCTGGGAAAACTACACGCTTGCTATCTTCCAAATTGAACTCACCTGAGCTTTGGAAATTGAAGATATTCGAATGACGACGCTGTTATCCCTTTGAGCATCAGAAGCTGGTGGTGGATCTTCCGGGAAAGCTGTTGTCGTGAGCTGTATTTTCTGGCTGAGAGCGTTCTCGAGTTCTCCGCCTTGGGTAACCAACATAGATGCAAGAGTTTGCTTCGGAACCGGGGCAGATTTACTTGGGTTGGTCACGTAAAATGAAACAAGTACTTTCCCACCATCATCTCGAGGGAAACCAGGAATTCGACCGACGTGGGAAGATTCGAAGCTTTCGTCTGACCTGGAAAAAAAGATATTCTTTCACTAACGAGTAAAATTATCTGGCATTAGACAGAGTAAAATACTAAAGTAGGTCACATCTGGGTGCATTGCAAGCTAATGGGTTAACAAGAGACACTGACAGATAGTTTGCTAACTTATTATCTGACAATACTCTTCCACTGATGAGTAAAATCATCTGACATTAGACAGAGTAAAATACTAAAGTAGGTCACATCTGGGTGCATTGCAAGCTAACGGATTGACAACTCACCCAGTAAATTCACAATCCTTCTCACGAGAATAAGAATCATCTCTACAGTATCTGCTCAGAATGATGGCAACAGATCGACGGAAAACCGTATCATAGAAAGTTGTCCACTAGAAAGAATAGTAAAGTAAAAAAGTTTAATATTTTTAGCCTAAACACGTGAAATCACAGGAAATTGAAGTTTCCAAAATTATTATATGCGGAAGAAATTGTTAAATTTCAACGTACTTTGCAAAAAAGTCAGTCTTTTAAGACTATTCGATCAGTTTCCATAGCTAGCTGCTTTGAAATAAAGGTTTTTCAAATGAGCCAGCTTAGCCAAGATTTTACGAAGCGTAAAATGATTTCGAGGTATGGAAATGAGTGAATAACATGATCCTGGTAGTCGGGTAGTCATCCTCACAATAGCATGTGCTTGTTTGGCTTCAGAAAGACTTATTTCAATACCTCAAAATCATCTCTCGCTTCGCTGAATCTCAGGTAACCGAGTTCACATGAACAGTTCCTAACCTAAGAAAATGATCATTGGAAGACTAAAGAACTGTTCTTTTATTTTATACAACGACAAGATTGAACCATCAATAGACCACTTTTTATCTATGTAAAGACTACTTTTTATCTATGTAAGGAAATATAATCAAATCACCACAGCTGAAAAGAGCATACGAAAATTAGCAAAAATGCAAAGTTTGGTTGCAAAATGTTGTAAAATTCGGGAAATACAGCCTTGCAAAGTTTGCAAATTTGTATACTTTTGTTGAACGCACGAAAATTGTTACCATTTCTCGCCTGAACGTGGTAACAATTTTGGAAACTTTGCAATGCTATATTTTTCGTATTTTACAACATTTCGCCCAAACTTTGCGTTGCTACTAATTTCAGTACGCTCATTTCAGCTGTGGTGATTCGATTCAGTGGCGTAGCCAGCCTGACGATTTTGTCCCACTATGTAAATTTCGAGCTATTATAATTATTCATGTCTTTAGAAATCTATTGTTTTCACAGTCAGTGAACACTAAATATTAGCATAGCGGGACAAATCGACAGGCTGGCTACGCTACTGATTCGATTGCATTACCTTGCATAGATCAAAAAGTAATCTACAATGCAAAATATCTATTCCATTACATCGCGCCAAAAATCAGTTAACTTTCGCTTTATCTGAGACACCTTGTATAAGATTACACTTCACTACCTTGACTGTGGTGAAATCGAGTATTTCCAAAGTCACAGCATTATTTCTCTGTTCGTCACTTGGGTCACGTGGTGCTTCTGGGGTAACCGGAGTATCCAGGGTGATGCTATAATTAAAAAGTTTTTCAAATTTCGCCAATTCCGAAAAAACAATCGAGGCCAGTATCGCCTTCGGCAGTGAACCAGATTTTATCGTAGTCGGGTAGTCAACATAGAACTTGATAGTTGTGTTAAATTCTCCAACATTTTGTGGATATCCCGGGAGTCGTTCCACGTTGAGACTGCTGAAAAATACCTTGTTCCTGAAAAGCAAAAACGACACAACGTTGTTAGGAAACGACCGTCAGCGACACTGATTTTCATTCCGTAGACAGTCGATGATTGATGGCCTTTCTTATCATTTAAGGTTGCCCAGGTTGCTACAATACTGCCGATTTAAACGACCAATATACATAACGTTAAACTGGTGGGCTATCTAGGGGTCAAGGGGTTTTTTCTTGTGCTGGATACTGTGTTTGAATACTAAGAACTTACTGACTGAGAATGAGGTCTGTACGGTAAAATATCAAACCGAGGTCGTGCCGTATTGACCGAGCGATAGCGAGGTCAATACGCCAAGACCGAGGTTTGATATTTTACCGTACAGACCGAACAGTCGAAGTTAGTAAGTTTTTTATTATATGGCATATTTCAAGCAGACATTGTAATGATTAGTTAGTTTTTGCCGTGAGTTTTGCCTTGTTTTCACAGGGCAATAAGAATTGCGTATTGCCCGTGGGCAATACGGGGAAATCCGGACCTGTCAGCAGCCAATCAAATTGCAGAATTAACCAAAACAAGCGCTTGCCATATAATAAATACTACTTATTAACCGAATTTGAGGTCCGTACTAGAAAAATATCAGACCGAGGTCTTGACAGTACGGACCGATTTTTCGTATCAAAAATAAAAGTGCAAGCTTGTTTTTATTCAAAAATATGAGAGTTGGACAGTTACTACGGCAACGGTCTATTACTGGGACCGGCAAAGAACCAATCAGCGCACGCCATTTTAGTCACGAGACCGCGTGCCATATAATAATGCATGGTAACACTATTTTTCGATATTTGCAAATGACTCCCAAATGGAACCAGTGACAATACTCTTTTGGTTTGTTCTTTAGTTTATTTGAGGGTATGGTTTATTTTCTGCGTATATTTGTCGTTAATAAGAGTGTGAGCGCGTGCTCTAGCAACCTGGGACCGAGCTAAATGATGAGAACGTCCATCAATGATGATTTCGACTTTCTACGGAATCGAAATTTCCATCGTGGACAACAATAATAAAAAAGAATTCTCGAAATACTTGATACATACTGTTCCACTCCGCAATCCTGAGGTCTGAGACGGTTTTCATTACAAAAATCGTTCACTAATGTGACAACGGAATCTTTGAAGAGTGTGTTTACATCCACAGTATACTAAATAGATGATATTAAAATATGAAATTGATGACCGTTTCATATTTCATATTAGGGAGCTTTAGCAGTGACTACGAGTACGACTACGAGTACGAGATTCGTCATTCTCGTGCGTTGTTTGCTTACGCCATCAGCCAAAACTCGTAGTCGTTGGGCTTTCGAGCACGAAATTTGCCAAAAAAACTCGCACTCAAAAGCCCAACGACTACGAGTTTTGACTGATGGCCTAAGCAAACAACGCGCGAGAATGACGAATCTCGTACTCGTAGTCGTTCTCGTAGTCACTGCTAAAGCTCCCTATTATTATATGGATGTGGGGTATTTTGATAGATAGATAACTTGTATAACTCATACGCCACGAAATCCGGGGTAGAGTGCAGATATTTTCCGTACATATGTCACGTTTAGGGGTGAAATAACGGATTTCGAAATTTTCCCGCCATTTTCATTGTTGTTGTTGTGAAAATACAAATGGCCTTTGGTTCGTATATAAAACGAAATTAACGTTGGAAATACAAACGAAAACACTTAAAAGACATCCTTAGATAAGTTAAATGTATTCTACTTTAATGTTTAGGCTATAATTTAAGAAATATTCGCTTTTATAATGGTCTTCCGTAGCTTATTTACTTGTCATTTTTGTGTGTATTTCACTCTGATTTTAGTTCATGTAATAAACAGAACATTACACGGTTTGCTCGAAGATAAGGATTTCATGTTCTCGTGTCAAAAACAATTTCTCACTTGTTTTGTTTTTTCTCACTCATTTCTCATAGGGTTTTGAACTTCATGTAAACAAGCCTGAACTTACATGTTCGCGCCGAAGCTTCGCCACAGTTATTTCAATGGCGTTATTTGTCTGGTTCGATGATGCGCTTGGCGGTTCCGGGGCAATGTCCACTTTTGTGTCCTCTTCTCGAACTAAAAACGCAAAGAACATATTTGACAACATAAATACGACGGATTTTCTGGCGGTTTACAACTCTTTGGAAAATTTCCCACTGCCCTGGAGAATTGGGCATCCCTCCCCGAAAAAAATCCCACAGCCACACTGTTAAATTGCACACCCCCCGGAAAAATTTCGTACATCCTGAAAAATTTTGCAAACCCCCCCCCTGGAAGAAGGCGACAGGTATTGAAACTTAGTCTTTATGTGACCAAACAAAGACACGCTTTGGTTGGAATGACCACACCACTGCTAGGATTATCAAAAGTCACCTCAAGCTTTGTAAAATATCTGCCAAATAGGATCACGTAAGCAAGCTTTTTTGTTATATAAGTGTTGTGTATTTTAAATGTGATTGGATCATTCGTAATCACATGACTTTAAATAAATGAAATGTTTCCCGCCAGGGAAACAAGTGAAAAATTGTTGCCCGCATATTGTCAGTGATTGGTTCATTCGTAGTCACATGACTTTAAATAAATGCAATGTTTCTCGCCAGGGAAACAAGTGAAAAATTGTTGCCCGCATATTGTCACAACAAAGTTTTTCGAAATGAAATTGTCGTTTAACATGTATGTTTTTGTTCCTATATAACAAAACACTTAATGTTCGCTACACCTCGGGAAATAGTGAGTTTTGTTTTCCCTCGAGTCTCAATGTTTCCCTCGACTTCGTCTCGGAAAACATTCAGACTCTTGGGAAAACAAAACTTAATATTTCCCTCGGGAGCATACATTAAGTGTATAATATACATACATTCGCACGTTCCATTTACTCGTATCATGTTTAACCGTTTAGGACACAGGCATCTGTAGCTTCCCGGAAGATTTTCACATTCCTCGAAACCTGTGCAATTGAAGGTCCCTTCAAAGCACTCGTCAATATCTGAAGTGAAGAAAAATTATAACGGTCAATAGGGTTTTCTGTGGTAGTTGTATCAACAAACTTTGCTGCAATGTGTCAACATCTAGTCGAATCTTTTGTGAATCAATTGCCCGAAACATAGCAAAGAAAACCTCTTGAAGCTGTGTTAAGGCTAGTTTCCACTCAGGAAAAAACTCCTTTGGATCGAAACGGACAGGAAAATTTCCTTTGTCGGTGAGTTCTCAGGCAGCGTTTATACAAAGGAAACTTTCCTTTCCTGCATGTCCGATCCAAAGGAGACTTTTCCTGAGTGGAAACTAGGCTTTACCGGGAATATATTATGAAATATAAAATCAAAAGCATGCTGTTTGTTCAAGTGACCATTTTTATGGGCACCCAAGACTAGCAATCCCAATTAAGCATTTGGCGATCTTAATTAGCTACGCCACAGCTGCATTCGACAAAGAGCTGTGCCATTTGCGTTATAATCAACATGCTTTGCACTGTGAATGAATGTGGTTTTTGAACAGCAATTTTTAACAAAAGATGATTTGGTTATTTCTTGCCGTTACGACATGAAAAAGATCTTGCTAGAAAGCTAAATAGTTCCCGTTTCATGCCTTTGAAAAATGAAATCGCCATACGAAATATATAATGCATGTATTACGGCGTGCTTCATTTTGTTTATTCCCTTGGGACAATCTGATGAATATTTCAAAGAAAGCAACGCTATCACCCAGCATTGTTTTTCCATACCTGTACACGATTGACCAGCTTTCCTATACCCGGGTATGCAAGAACAGGTATAACTGCCTTCAGTGTTAAAACAAAGTTGATCGCAAAGATTGGTTTCTGTCGTTACACACTCATTTATGTCTGAAAAATGGTCAAACAAGAAAGACAAAATTAATTTGACAAAGATCAGGGAGGTCGGAACGATGCAAAAGAGGACGGAGTTCTGTAAAAGGGCACTACTGTAACGAGGAAAAGTGCAAAAAACAATATTTTTCAATCAGGATGATCTTAATTATTGCTATGACCATTTAACTTCGCCGGGAATCTTCTATTTATAATTTTGCGAAGCATTAAGTCATAGGCGTTTTAAGGCGGTGTTACACTATGCAATTTTCCTTGCAACTTGCAATGCAATTATAATTTTGAGGGATGTTAATTTGTAAAGAGTGTTCGAAATGCTAAGAAAACGTCAGCAGATCGTAAGAAATGTTCGTATTTGTCAACTTTAGATGCTTCAGGAGTAGAATTGCATTGCAAGTTGCAAGAAAAGTTGCATAGTGTAACACCGCCTTTACTCACCATTGCAAGTTTGCGGATCCCCCCCAAGCGAAAAACCTGCTCGACAGGCACATTTTTGCACCCCCGGTTGAAGAACATCAATGTAGCAGATCTGATTGCAACCATGACCAGACGAGCATTCTGTTTGGGCTAAAACAATATTTAAAACAATTGCAGCTTAAGGCGGTTCTATCAGTAACTAGGTGGGATTTCCTTTTAGACCAATCAGCAAGTTTGTTTACATTTTCTGTAACCCAATCAGAATGCATAAATTTTGACGATAAGTACAATATATGTCCCATTTTACATGAAGTGCTAAAAATTTAGGGAAAGGCCTTAGTGTCCGCCATCTTGGCTTCAAACTTCCGACAGAGTGAGCGTTCCAGTTTTATTTGAGTTTACTGGTAACACCCACCTTCGCATTCCGTTGGGTTATCTGGATCGATTTTAAAACCAATCTTGCAAGAGCAATTGTATGAGCCCAGGGTGTTGCCGCACAGCTGACTGCAGTCATTCGGCTGAGAACACTCGTCGATATCTGAATGAAAAGAAACATTGAACAGATCAAGGCTAGCAAGCAGAGTTCTTTGAGACAAACAAAAGCCAGCTAGTCTAAATTAGGCTAGAGAATGTGTTTTGTTTGTTGTTTTACATTTTATCTACAAAGGGCTTTTACAAGTCAAAAGTAATTAGTAAATACATAATTTAAATCGAGAAATATCTCGAAAATAATGCTTCTAAATAAATGGAAACAGTTTTCGAAAATAGATCATTTCGCTATTGTTGTCTTCGAATATTGCTCCGGTGTAGAGTACAATTATAATAGGGACATTAAGCATGTAGGACGGCAACACGACGACGACGTGGTTGGAATACTCCTATGGTAAAGCGTTGTTGTATATTATCAACTGTACCAATTTAATCAGATATAAAACGTTGAAAACATTGTGTTTACGTTTAAGGACAATTCTACAGGGTGTCCCAAAAAAACCGAAAACTATTGAAATCACTCATTGTTAAAATTTGAATGCCGTGTGCACGAATTTTAGCCCGTGGGGATTTAATGCAACTCAGTAAAATGCTAAATGCTTTGTGTTGCTACAGAAAGGGCACATGTCGAAGGTCATGGTGATTGAGATGCACATTAATATTGTTAATAAATATCATTTTCGCGTACGAGCAAATTTTACTGCATCATATGCATGCATAAAAATACTTATGGCAAACATTTACACATTTGTGGGTCCCAACAGAGTGCTTAGGCATTCAAACTCTAACAATTACATTGTTATGGGTGATTTCAATAGTTTTCGTTTTTTTTGGGACACCCTGTATAGAGCCTTAAGCCGGTTTTCCACTAGCGATATTTTTCGCGCGAAGCGACTTTATTCTTTTGTATTTGAGCAATTTGTTCCAGATAGTTGCAGTTGATAGCTCTGAAACAAAAGTAAAATGTCGCTTCGCGCGAAAAATATCGCTAGTGGAAAACCGGCTTAAAGCCAGTTTTCCACTAGCGATATTTTTCGCGCGAATCGACCTTTTGCTTTTGTTCCAGAGCTCTCAACTGCAACCACCTGGAACGCAGACGTTCTACATAGGACGTAATAAACGACGTTTTGCCGTTGTAAACAGAACGTAGATCACGCGTCTAAAATTCCCATAGGTATTTAATAATTCATTTCTTTTCGATGAAGCATTGTATTGATAGCTGCCTCGTCGTGTTCCCGTCTTACATGCTTAAGGTCCCTATTAACTTCGGCGGGCATCACGGTGTATTTTGCGAGCTATTAAAGTTTTGAACTGTATTTGGTGAATGCAAAACACCAAACAAAGGAGTTATTACAAAATATAATGCGGCCGCTATCAACAATGTTATAATGTCAACGCCATTATAACTGAAATGAATACAAAAGAAGCTTCGATTCAAGTGTCATTTTCTTTTTGGCGTATCCCGAGAAATCTTTTCATTTTCACAATATTTTGAGATTATGCAGTAAACATACTTGGTGGATGCTTTTCAGGTTTGCAAAACATTTTCAATGCTGAGAATTTTAGTGCTGTTGCATGAAGATATAACTGAGGTTTTGAGCATATATTACGCAACATACAAAAATATCTCCTCTTAATGGGATTTAGGGAAGATGAATTGTGAAATTACCATCGCAGCTTCTTTTATCCTGATTTAAACTGTATCCAGGACCACACTCGCAAAAATAAGATCCGACAGTGTTTCCACAAGTTTGATCACAGCCATCAGTATTACTTCCGCACTCATCAATATCTACAAAAGTAGAATTAGCGTGATGTTGTAAAAGTGAAGTTTTTTGCAAGCATACCTATAGTGTCAGATTACGATTTGAAGAGTTTATAATATGAATTTTACTATCTAAGGCCTGTTTTCCACCCTAACCGTATCATATCGTATCGTGTCGTATCGTGTCGTGTCGTATCGTGTCGTGTCGTATCGTATCGTATCGTATCGTATCGTATCGTATCGTATCGTATCGTATCGTATCGTATCGTAGCGTAGCGTAGCGTATTTCTTTGTTTCCGAAGTGTTCGACCAGAACTAATGACTCTAAAGCAATGAGATACGCTACGTTTCGCTACGATACTTTTGAAGTGGAAAACGGCCTTGATTTCCGTAATCTGTACAAATCAATTATCACTTGCAAAGCCTTGTTCAATGCGATTCAACGAAACGAAAGATAATTTTGAGGTATTGAAATTAGTCATCATGAAAGCACTTGCTATTGTTAGAATGATTAAAGCACTGCAATGATCATTTTATATACTCATTTCAATACAGCGAGTAGTAAGTAATTTCACGATTCGTTTAATCACAACTGAGCTGCACAAATCCCGCCATATCTTTGAAGTCCAAAATATTAAACAAGAAATCTGAGATTAATAAATAGATTGACCAAAATATTTTTGGTGGTACCCGAATGATTTCAATTATAATTTCTGGCAATCGCATACTAGACTTATTATCGATTCTTACAAATCCGGAGAAGGAAAGGGGGGGAAGCCCGCGTCTGCCTCCCCCCCTGGCCTCGCAAGCCTGATGAGGATCAATGTAAAACTAGATTGGAAAACTCATGAACGAAAATTATGAATATTCTTAATTTATTTACGAATTGGAAATTGACATGAATGGAGTCACTTACCAAGACAAAGGCTTCCGTCTCCAACATAACCCGTGGGGCAGTCCCCACAGGTGAAGTTTGTTGGATGGTTGAAACACGAGACCAAGGGGTGACAGGGTGGGGTCAGTTCACCAGCACAATAATCCAGCTCTACTTCACAAAATTCGCCCGTCCGCCCATCGGGGCATTCGCAGGTCATGACGAGAAATGCGACATCGATATCAGCGGTCTCTTGTGACGTGGCCTCGGGAATGGTGCACAGTCCCCCAGCGACACAGCGACAGAGTCGAATGTTGGGCGAAAGACTCACGGCGGCGCCATTCGAATCGGTCACCAGGAACGTTACGATTACCTGAAAAGTATTCATAAAACGCATCATGTGCTGAAAATTGTATAACGTATAAAATATCAGAGGCCGCGGAAAATCGTTAAGTCGGGGTGGGGTGTTCCCCCAAAGTGCTAACATGAATATGTTAATATCCCCCCCCGCACATCCAGATTATCTGAGATCATGACGTCATAAAGCGTCTCGACAAAATTGAGTTATCATGCACCTGGTGTTATTTTTCTAACTAATAATACAATGGATGAAAAACTAATTAATTAATTCTAATTTATATTTGAGAAAAAATAAACGTGCTTTCACATAAACATAAAAAAAATACTTGATATTTTCGAGTGTTGAAATCATATGCAATGAAGGAAATGATAATTCAGTTTTGTCGAAGATCTGGCTTCTGATTGGTTGATTTTTACACCCAGATCAGCTAGATCTTTCTCTATTCGAGGTGGTAACTACTAGTATGAAAATAACTTATATAAAGCCGGTTTTCCACTAAGCGATATTTTTCGCGCGAAATGACTTTATTCCTTTGTATTTGAGCAATTTGTTCCAGATGGTTGCAGTTGAGAGCTCTGAAACAAAAATAAAATGTCGCTTCGCGCGAAAAATATCGCTAGAGGAAAACCGGCTTAACATATGTCTTCATATTTCGCTGGTATGAAAAATTCGTAAGGCGAGCTAGAACTTTAGTTCAGTCTATCTTTTTAGAGCAAGAATGTTAGGCAGGGACTAGATACCGCGTGAAGTGTCGGATAGTGGTTTTCCAATCGGTCTAACTAAGATTCCCTGTTATTCGGTATAATCTAAAGTAAATTTGTTATTTCTAAATTGGGGAATTCTCTTTCATAACCCATAGCCTCAAATCTGTAATTTCATTGCTCTTAAAGCGTATTTAAAATAGCTCAAAAAATCACTATCCGGTGGAAAGCACTATCCAGCTTCGCACAATAATACTCTTAAAGTGTTTTGACTAACAAGGGAGAATTCCGTTTTTGACCAGTCAGCAAGTTCGTTTACATTTTCAGTAAGCCAATCAGAATGCATAAAATTTGTAAAAAAGTACAATATATATCATTTTACATGAAGTATTTAAAATTTAGGCATTCTGATTGGCTTTGCCTGAAAAATGTAAATAAATATCGCCATATTAGTTTAAAACGAAATTCCTCCTTCTTGTTCTGGGGCTGGTTTTATCAAGCTCGTTTGTTTAAACGGTGGTTAAGTTCAAAATTAACAACACTCTTACATCTTTCTTGAATGAGTCAACTTGAATATTATAATGCACTGAATATGTAGTTGTAAACAGTATCTTTGTATTAAGGTTAAAAACATTTAGTTTGCTTGTTGAATAAAACGGCAAACGTACTTTCAATGCTGAACTTAACCATCGTTTAAGCTAAACGGGCTTGATACAACCGGTTTTTTAAATACAATCAGTTAGGCATTCATTTTTTAGGAAGAATATAAAAGTAGTACCTCGTCAGGGGACATAACATGCCAAGTAAAAAAAAGCCTGTTTCCGGATTGAATGAAACTCGCTCCTTCTGGTATATCGGGAACGTCGAATGTCAAATTGTCGCCGTCTGGGTCTGTGGCGTTTAAATCCAGCTGAAAAGTCGCGTTGAGCGTCACTATGATCTCCGTGATATTTTGTGTAAACACTGGAGCGTTGTTTACTTAACAAAAAAAATATCAGCCTTATTATCAACAACAGAACAATTATTTTGTAGGAAATGGATTCAGTGAAATATTGTACTAATTTCAGTATTCTCTCTTTCAGAACCATAAAACATTTTTCGTGTTTCTATACAATTATAGTCGGAATTTCGGAGAACGAGAAATAATCAGTGGGAAAACGATCCCGTAGGAGGAGTTTTCCCACGTTATTAGGAGTTCTTCCAAACTTCCACAAGTGTTTCTACAATTGTATAGAAACTCAGAAAAAATTAATTTCTATTTCTTTTAATAATATAACTCAAAGATTTTGTACAAATATTATAATTCGATTCAATTACAAATTCTCATTACATCGCTTCGCTTGTCAAGTTCGGCGGGAAATTTCCCGTGTTTTAATACAGTTATAGAATCACGCTTCTCGACCAATCAGCACGCGCGTACTATCAATGTTATATACATTACAATAAATTCTATTGACTAAAGTTTTTAAACTAATAAAAAGTGATGTTTGGCAACAACAAATTTTACGAGCATATTAAGTTAACCGGTTTGAAAAAGCTAGAACACGCGGCGCTTTACTCGTTTTATTTCCTTAAAGTTTGAGCAAAATTCCTCAAAGTTTCAGCTTCAATCAACGTGTTTCAAAAAGAACAAAAACTCACCCGCAATTTTGATTTCATTTCTAGCGCCGTCGCTTTCGGTCAGCGTCGATACCCCGAGGGCAACTTGCTTAGTCGCAGCGATATCAAAGAGACAGGTGACGTCATTACCACAGACGCTCTCGGCTTCTCTTTTTAAATCTTCATCAATCGATGCCAGGGCTTCTTCGGAGAAAATTGCGACAAAATTGTCTGGACACACGTAGTTCTCGTCATTGTCGTCTATGACTTGGTATATTGTCTCGTTCTGCGGTACCCTCCCTACAAATGTGCATTTTGAAGCCCAATTTACACTACACTCGATTTATTGGTACCAGCGTAGCCAGCCTGACGATTTTGTCCCGCTATGTAAATTTCGAGTTATTATAATTATTCATGTCTTTAGAAATTTATTGTTTTCACAGTCAGTGAACACTAAATATTAGCATGCATAGCGGGACAAATTGTCAGGCTGGCTATGCTACCGTTTATTGGCACGAAACGGCTAAAATGGGTACCCGTGCCCATTTCATCCGTGTCCGGCCTTTGTTTTGGTAGCCTGAGCACTAGTGAAATTGGAAACAGGTACCCATTTTAGCCGTGCCGTGTCGATAAATCGAGTGTAGTGTAAATAGGACGTTTATTTCATCTGCCACATGGGGCGCTTTCTTTTAAACGACCAATACGTTCAAACCGGTCATATTTTGAATTGAAATAGAGTACTTCCTAAAGAATATAGCGGTGAAATTGCATTTTCCGTGCTGCACAGATGTAAATAACGATATATAGTCGAATACGGAGTTTTGAGACACTCTAAAATATAACAAGGGCCGGTTTTATAAAAGCCGGATAGCGCTATCCACCGGATAGTGGTATTTTCAAACCCCTCAAAATCGCCGTTGTTGGGTATAACTTTAATTCAATCTTGATGCACAAAATTTCGATTTAAAAAAAAAGAAAATAAGTGAAAACAGGGCAATTCCACATCCACTACGAAAATCAACATAATATTTTTATGAACTTTCAACAGATGTCCATTTCTATGCGCGCGATACGAAACGGAACAACTTAAGGCGATTCTCCATTACCGTCCGCTTCACCCGCGCGGGCGAAGCGTGTTTTGAAAATCGGCTCATGGGACCATGACGGGTCTGAAAAACAAAGCGCGCTTCGCCCGCGCGGGTGAAGCGGACGTAATGGAGAATCGCCTTTAAAGGCAATGAGAAGCGGATTTCCACTCAGTGCAAAATGTTGCGGATCACTTTCTTTTCAAATGTGTTAATTCAAGCTCATCTGATGGGATTAGTTGCGCCTGATTGTCTATATTTCAAATGAAAGGGATCGCAAAAAGTCGATCGCGCGGCATTTTGCACTGAATGGAAATCCGCCTTTAAGCCTGTTTTCCACTAGCGAAATTTTTCGCGCGAAGCGACATTTTACTTTTGTCCCAGAGCTCTCAACTGCAACCATTTGGAACAAATTGCTCAAATACAAAGGAATAAAGTCGCTTCGCGCGAAAAATATCGCTAGCGGAAAACCGGCTTTAGAAGGCAAGCGTTATAAGAAACTCACATTTTTCACCAAATTTATGAAATATTTCAGATTCACTCATGTCGATGGGCAGAACGGTTCCATTGGGTAGCGTGAAGTCGTCCTCGAGAATGTCATTCCATTTCCCAATCAATCCAAGTGACGAATTCTTGTAGGAGGGTAAAAATGCCGCTACAATCGTCAAAAGAGTGTTATTGGCCGCCTTCCTAATTCGTAAACCTGACCCCAAGGGCGTACTGATTGACAACGTTTTATTCGAATGAGATAGGAACACGCCACTGACAAATCCTGTGGAATTTTCTTGCAAATAAACTCGCTCGCGATTCACTCTGACATGGAGGGCACCTTAAAAAGAAGAAATTGCTGTTAAATATTCGTGACTTCGTGTAGTTGTAGAATTTTGAAAAAAATCAAATATCCGCCTGAGTTTTGCACAACTTTTTGCCGTTTGATTATACTTCGATCTATAGTTTTGAGTCCTTTGACTTTTTGACAGTTGAACAAACAGTCGCGATCATTCATCGACATTTGTGCCTGAGAACCTTTTGTCTGAAGTAAATTTGTTTGGCCTTAATTGAAAAATCATTCGAAATTGTTCAGGGCCGGTTGTTCGAAAGGCGTTTAGCTTAAACGGTGGATAAGCCAAAGTTTGAAAATACTCTCATAGATCTTGTGAATTACTGAACCTGCATCTTATGCAATTAATATGTACTTTCATTGACAATTAAACTATTTACATCGAAATATTTCGGCTCAGTTGTTCAATAAATAGATCATTCTGTTTTCCATTTTGAACTTACCCATGCACCGTTTAAGCTAAACGCCTTTCGAACAACCGGCCACAGATGTAATTAATGTAAATTGACATGCTCACGACAATTTCGTTTAAGTCGATTCTAGGTTTACTGCGATATATAATATACACTTAATGTATGCTCCCGAGGAAAATAGTGAGTTTTGTTTTCCCAAGAGTCTGAATGTTTCCCAAGACGAAGTCGAGGTAAACATTGAGACTCGAGGGAAAACAAAACTCACTATTTCCCGAGGTGTAGCGAACATTAAGTGTTTTGTTATATAGGAACAAAAACATTAAAAAAAACCCACTTTACTTTGTTATGACAAGAAGCGGGCAACAATTTTTCACTTGTTTCCCTGGCGGGAAACATTGCATTTATTTAAAGTCATGTGACTACGAATGAACCAATCACATTTAAAATACACAGATACCTGTATAACAATAGCCGTTATACCTGTTTTCACTAAGTTAACTTGAACGACCTCTGAATTTCCCTCTTTTATTGCAACTCCCGTAAAAACAGTGGCGTTGATGTCTTCAACTCTCGTTGTTCTAACTTGGACAACAAGAGAACTGCCGCTTGTACCTAAAATAAATATATAAATATATAAAAAAATTTAATTTGTATTGGTGATGGTCATTCCCTTATTAAACTTAATTTCATCAGTACAGCCGAAGAGAGCATCTCGAATGAGTAAAATTATAGTAATAGTTATAGTGGTATATATCCTCCAGGTATGGTATATATCCTCCAGGCTCTGTCTTGGAAAAATATTAGTGGGCTTTAGCAGTGACTACGAGTACAACTACGAGTACGAGATTCGTCATTCTCGCGCGTTGTTTGCTTACGCCATCAGTCAAAACTCGTAGTCGTTGGGCTTTTGAGTACGAAATTTATCAAAAAACTCGTACTCAAAAGCCCAGCGACTACAAGTTTTGGCTGATGGCGTAAGCAAACAACGCGCGAGAATGACGAATCTCGTACTCGTAGAAAGACATAACAGAACTAAGTCTAATGTTTAAAGTATTAAATAGCGGCGTACTGCTCCCAACCTAAGGGCGTCCTTTATTACAATGAATGATATGCAAAATAACTATGAATTACGAAATAGGGAAACTGATTTGATTATCCCTAAACCTAAGAGCGAATATCCTAAAAAAACCTTTAAGTATAGCGGGGCTGTAACATGGAATTCGCTCTCTACAGATGCAAAGCTATCAACTACTTTAAGTGCGTTTAAAAGGCGAAACTCAGAAGCACATCGTACTTTGAAAAGTATAGAAGTTCAAAAATGTAAATAAACCGCATGATGTGAATATGTTTACAGATGACGTCTTACAATTTGGAATTCGCGCTTATATTTCATCCACAGCGGTTCATAAATTAACATATCTTCTCAGAGATGATAATATATAGTTGTGGAAAAAAGAGCGTCAAAAAGAAAACAATTACTTCCCAAAACTACATCACGCTACAACACGAAACACTACAAACGGTCTTTTTTTCCTATAGTTAGAGACTATGCTTCTCACATTTAAAATGCACAGCACCTATATAGTAAGTCTTACTTAATATTACACTCGAAAAGACAAAAAATGGTAACGCTTTTTCGAACGCATTACAATTTTTACAAAATTTCCCTGGCGATATATTTCGTATTTTTCAAAATTTCGCAACCGAACATCCCCTTTTACTAATTCTGGGATGCCCTTGCTAGCTGTTTACCTCAAAACCGACGAATTTTCCTAGTTCGGAATTTTGTTGAGCAGGGGAATGGTCCATTGCAAATCAAAGTGAAAGTGCGATTTGTGACCACAAGTTTGATTTCGCACGATACGAAAAAAACTGCGGGTAGGGGGGTACCACCCATGCATGAGGAAGGTTTGCTTTGAATGAGGTTTGCGAGGAAGGTTCAAAGTTTAACACTCTAATTGATCACATGCATGTACCAAACATGTGCACATCATGCATGTACCAAACATGTGCACATCATGCATGTACCAAACATGTGCACATCATGCATGTATAAAACATGTGCACATTATGCATGTACCAAACATGTGCACATCATGCATGTATAAAACATGTGCACATTATGCATGTACCAAAAACCAAATATTTCTTTATGCTGGTTGCCACTTGGCTCATAGACGTAACGTCATTTTGAAGAAGGTTTTTGCAGGTCCCCTATGGATACCAGCCTTCGTGCTGAAGGGGTTACCCTGTTTAAATTAAGTTTTTTCCATTTTTTCCATTCCAAAACTTGAAATCCACCGGAGGAAGGTTGAACTCTTTTTGCAACTCTGAAGTGAAATTACTCCCCCTCACGTTGTTATGTTGCTCATTGTATTTTCTGACCTTATCGTAATACAGCTTACCTGGGATTGCTCCCGTAAAGTACGTGTACCATCCACAACCATTGAATGTGTAGTTTTTACCATCCAGGGTAACAAAATGAGGGTCACCAAACATGTACGCTATATGCAAACGATTGGAAACAATCTTAAGTTTAAAATAGTTTGCCAAATCTCATACAAATAACACAATGTACATGATTCACACGTTAAGATGACTTGATCGAAGAGTGAAACCACGTTTTTTTTCCCGTCACATTAATGTTATGAGCAACTTTCAACATAGAAAAATCCAAAAAAGCAAGAACTTGTTCAAAAAAATATCCAGCAAGCAAACCATATATCGACAATTTTGTTGCTTTCTTTACAAAAGTAGTTATTCATAACTTTATTACTCAAATCGAGTTCCTTTTTTTAAACTCGGCTTTCTTAGGCATTTGTTTGGGGGTGATACACCTCAAACCCCCGGGAGAGCACAGCCCTATACATGGTGGGGTAGTACTGTGAATTCGAATTATTGTTAATACTTAGATTTATTCTGGGAGAATTTGCTCAGCTCTAAAAGGCTGTTAGCTTACAAAGGCCTGATGAACTGAAACGATTTAGCATAGAATAGTAGAAAATATGAATGCTTGAGCATCATTAGTTAAAGCCTTTGCACAACACGAAGTGCAATGACTCCCCATCACCGGTGTAATTTTGTCATAATCCAATTTGTCATTCGTTTTAGCTCTTCATTTAGATCTCTATAACTACTTTATTCAAAAAGCTTTTATTGAAATTTTATTCTTACTGCATGTAAACATGTAAACATGTAAACATGTAAACATGTAAACATGTAAACATGTAAACATGTAAACATGTAAACATGTAAACATGTAAACATGTAAACATGTAAACATGTAAACATGTAAACATGTAAACATGTAAACATGTAAACATGTAAACATGTAAACATGTAAACATGTAAACATGTAAACATGTAAACATGTAAACATGTAAACATGTAAACATGTAAACATGTAAACATGTAAACATGTAAACATGTAAACATGTAAACATGTAAACATGTAAACATGTAAACATGTAAACATGTAAACATGTAAACATGTAAACATGTAAACATGTAAACATGTAAACATGTAAACATGAAAACATGTAAACATGTAAACATGTAAACATGTAAACATGTAAACATGTAAACATGTAAACATGTAAACATGTAAACATGTAAACATGTAAACATGTAAACATGTAAACATGTAAACATGTAAACATGTAAACATGTAAACATGTAAACATGTAAACATGTAAACATGTAAACATGTAAACATGTAAACATGTAAACATGTAAACATGTAAACATGTAAACATGTAAACATGTAAACATGTAAACATGTAAACATGTAAACATGTAAACATGTAAACATGTAAACATGTAAACATGTAAACATGTAAACATGTAAACATGTAAACATGTAAACATGTAAACATGTAAACATGTAAACATGTAAACATGTAAACATGTAAACATGTAAACATGTAAACATGTAAACATGTAAACATGTGAACGTGTGAACATGTAAACATGTAAACATGCAAACATGCAAACACGCAAACATGCAAACACGCAAACACGCAAACACGCAAACATGCAAACATGCAAACATGGAAACATGGAAAGTGAGACTTACCCCAATCACGGATATCCTTCCAACCGTCGCTCCCACAAATTGGACGCACACTGTGAAACAAATTACAGGATTTTTTATCATAATTCTCTGTGGAGCAACAATTCTTGAACGCGTTCGTTTCATTATCAGGTGTGTTCCAAGCCACCCATGCTGTATAGGAAATAGATCGACCTGCACCTCTCCTTGCGTTTTTGATTAAACGTCTTCTGCCTGAATTCTTGTAACAGCAGTCAACTAAATCCGTGCCTATAGGTAGCCCACAACCACCAGTGATACATGTATTAGAGGAAAACGTGTATTCTCTGCAAATTCCGTTTTTTATTGCATCTTTTGCCTTTTTGTAGGTAGGCGCACAAGGTATGCTTGCGGTGCAATCAACTCGCCCCCGGCCAGAGTGTAGTTGTTCATTCACCCATTGTTCGCAGTAGTAAGCCTTTGTCAATGGTTTTGACTCAAAAAGACTCATTCCAATTTTCCCCCGTTCTTTCAAACGTTCATGCTCAAAGTCGTCAACTTCTTCAACGTTGACTGTTCCTGACCTAAATATTAAGGAATGATTTTCTGACATGAATTGATTTGATTTGCTAAAATAGGAATTCTTTCTGAATATTTTAAATATGTATAAAAACTGTGCAAAATTATGATTATCTCGTTAATATATGTCAATTTATGTAATTTATGTAAACAACGTGCTTTGGACGTTTTGAAAAGGGCATGATCGTTGTAAATTCGATGAGAAGCATTATACATCAGAAACAGAGAAGAAACCTCGTTATTTGTTGCGAAAACATTCCATCAGAGAGTTTCCAACAAAACTTTTTTTAAGGTTGTGTTACAATATGCAACTTTCCTCGCAACTTGCAATGGAATTCTACTCCTGAGGCATCTAAAGTTGTCAAATAGGAACATTTTTTACGGTCTGATAACGTTTTCTTAGCATTTCGAACACCCTTTACAAATTAACATTACATCCCCCAAAGTTGCCATTGCAAGAGGTAAGGAAAATTGCATAGTGTAAGTGCACGTTTAGACGTTGTGCTATACTTTTAAAGGTGATTTACAGTCGGTAATGTAAACAATGTTTACATATTTAATCGTTATATCTCTCAAAATACCCTGTCCTATTAGCAAATTTATCACCATTTTAGTTGGCTATATTTCTAAATGAATAAGAAAAAAGTAAAAAAAAGTAAAAAAATGAAAAGTTAAAGGTTGCGCTATTTTAAGTAAATTTGTAAATCATGGAGTTTCCCAATGTTATGAGAAGAACTATGCGCAAAATTCATAAAGGCCCTGTTACACCGTGAAATTTTTCTTGCAACTTGCATCGTAATTCTACTTTTAAGAGATGTAAATTAGCGTAGAGTCTTCAAAATGTTAGTGTAAGAAACGCCCATGGAGTATAATAAACACAAAACAACGTAGTTGTTTTGATCTTTCATCTTTCAAAAGTAGAATCGTATATTTATATTGCAAGTCGCATGAAAAATTGCACTGTATAACAGGGCGTAAAACAAAATGGCCCTAACTAGGAATTAGTAATTTATATATAAGTTTTATCGGGGCGTCTGACGTTTAAATACTAATTTAAACGTCGCATTTTTTTCCAACAACAAGGCAGTGAATCTCGTTTCTATCAATTCAATTTAACAAAGAGGTAATTAAGGTTGTAAGTAAGTAAATAAGTAACGTTGAAACTTTCTACACTTTATTCTATATCAATTGCCACCCGTGGCGTGCACGGCGCAATTCAATTTGGTTTGAAGATGGATTTCGAGTCTTTTCAGAGTAAACCGCTGTTGAATTGTTGTTGTTGTCTCGCGTTTGAACAAAGAAATCGAAAGCGCTTGCAATCAGCTCATTGTTCAGTAGGTATTTTCTTTACAGATTGTTTAGAATGAGAAGTATTGAGATTGGTTTACCTGGCAAAGTTCTCAAAGCCTACGACATTCGCTTCTCTTTTGCGGGAATTCCATCCAACCACAGGTAAATCGCTGCCATCTGACCCTGTTCCTTGGAAATTCGGATAATCTGTTCTACAAAGACGATTGAAATATCGAATATATAACAATAGCCAATACATAAAATATACCATGAACAACTCATTTATCAGAAATACATTTAAAATTATAGAATTTGACGGAAATAGAAATTTGACGCCCTATTTGACGGAAGTACTATTCCTGGAAAATGATCGGGGGGGGGGGGAGTTGCGCCCCCTACGGCTTAATTACTTGAACTTACTTGTTAGCTTTCACTGACCAATCAATATCCTTATAGATGAAAACTGCAATCGCTTCGTTGTCTATGCTGTTTGCGAGGAGCACTTGAAATGTGTTTTTCTAAACAATCATTGTTTACTATACAATTACTTAATGGTTTCCGTGTTTCGATGGCCTGATCCAAACACGCGGGAATGTTGCGAGAGTTAAGAAAAGCGCGCGAATAAAATAACAGACCATAATAAATTTGTTTTTAAATTCCCGCGAAATTTCCGTGTTTGGATGGCCTGATCCAAACACGGGCTTCAACCAATCAGAACACGCGTTATATACATGTTATTTTATAAAATTCATTATTGTGCTTATTGTGCTCATAGCGAGTTTCAGATGCAGCAAATTAAATCTACGACGCGGACGTGACATAAAAATTGCTACTGGGCGCCCCTGTTTTAATGGCCCGAATTGAATCAAGTTAAATTTTACACCCTAGTCTCCTATTTAAGAAGGAAGACGATACTATACAATTACTGAATGGTTTCCGTGTTTGGATGGCCTGATCTAAACACGCGGGAATGTTGCGAGAGTTAAAAAAAGCGCGGGAAACACGAGCCGAAGGTGAGCGTTTTTCAAGCTTTTCTTAACTCGAGCAACATTTCCAAGTTATAAAAATAGGTATGCAATGCATACATGTGGGTAGCCTCCAAAGCATTGGCAAAGATTTTCAAGTTTTTGTTCAATGTCATATGACAGGCCGCAATAATGGCGGGGAAATCAACTGCATGATGCTTAGTTTTACGTGTTCTAATGCCATTCGCAAAGGCAAAAATGAGCTAGTTTGCTAGTTGGATACAGTTATAACAAAGTAGGCATAAGAATAATCATTGAAATACTAATGAAATACCATTCCTGCGATTAATTTATAGTGAAAGTTTAGGCCAGTTTACACCGATCAGGCTGACAAAATTTCGGCTCTGCCCAGTCTCTTTCGTAGATAAACAAACTCGGCGGACAGATATGCATCATCGCTCATCGTTTTTTGCGTGTAGCATAGTGGTTAGCCCGCGAACGGGTTACCCACAAAAAACAACGACAAGGCCTAAATTTAAATTCTTTAAAACTTCAAATTTCCGTGTTTGGATGGCCTGATCCAAACACGCGCTTCGACCAATCAGAGCACGCGTTATATACATGTTATTTTATAAATTGATTACCAACCCCGCAAAAGGTACCAGGTTGCGGAGGACTGAGATCACGCCAAGTGAAAACCATCGCCCACAGGGTTCTATATTTACTTTTTCCCAAAATTTTCTCGCCATAGTCTGAAACCTCATTAAACAATCCACTGAACTTATCCTTGTCTTCAAACACATCATAGGTAACGTTAGACGTTTTGTCCAAAAAAAAATCTAAGTCGACGACTGACCAATATGGGGCTAAGCAATTCTCGTTATCTTGTCGCCCAAAAGTGCCAAAATTTCGCGGGTTTGATTGATACCTCTTCCCCCTATTTTTGAATCTCATCAACCCATTGGGGCAAACCTGAAAATTCGAATACAATAGTTTTTTTTCATATGCTAACTTAACTAGTGGCTTACCAGAAACCTTAACAGAAAGGCTTTTAAACTCAGACCCCGTTTACACTAGAACGAAAGTCTCCGGATTCATCACGAAAGTGGAATGTTTTAGTACCGGATTTATGTTGCTGTTTACACACGCAGCAACGAATCCTATAGAAAATGTACTCGGTTTTTAAGCCGTATCTTTTCACTTTGAATCTGTAAAAGAGTTTGTGGAAACTTCGTATCCAGAAACATTTGAATCCGGAAAATTTTCTCGTGTAAACGCTTTGCACGACGAATCCGAAGAAATTCAATATGACGACCAAACAATTCTCCAAGAACAAGTAATGTGAGTGTAAACGGACAAATCCGCATACAGAGACAACTAAAGTGTAGTGTAAACACCTGACGAATCCAATACATGTGTGTAACAATGAATCCGGATAACTTTACAAATCCAGAAAATTTCGCTCTATTGTAAACGAGGTCTTATGCACCTCAATGCATGCATAATGAATAAGTAAAAAGGATGAGTTTCATGATAATGAAATAACATATGAACCAGTATATTTTGTCAAGTAATAAGATATGATTTTGTTTAATATTAATGAATCTTTTGTAGTTTTTGTGCCATGGCTAAGAATAGGTTTTATTTTTATTGTAATGAACTTTTTTTGCATAACGCTGATACTTCTCCAAGAGCCCGTTAGAATAAATAGAATGAAGTATATTCTAATCTTAACCATGAAACAAAAAACTTCGCTATGTTATTTCATTATCATTCTTAGCTTCTCCTGATTTTTTTTAATTTTAACAAAATACCCAGTGGTTCCCGTAATAATAAATTAACTAACATGTGGGAATTTTGTTTTAGACCAATCAGAAAGTTTGTTTACATATTTCAGTAAGCCAATCAGAATGCATAAATTTTGATAAAAAACACAATATGTACCATTTTACATGAAGTATTTAAAATTTAGGCATTCTGATTGGCTTTGCGTGAAAAATGTAAACAAATATCGCCATATTAGTTTAAAACGAAATTCCTTCTTGTTAAACCGACTCACAAAGACAAATTTATGAGTTTTCCCTTTAAACTCAATTCCATGTTGTGGGAGATCTATCTTTTTACACTTCGCTTTGGTACGTCTTCGATTTATGACAAATTCGAATTCGATTCTTTTCTCTTTGTTCTGATAACTTATCAATCGGTCTGAAAAATAAAAGAATTTAGTACGTAAAATAGCTAACTAGTGTAGTCAATTTCATAATCTGATACTTCATAGAGAACGACCAAAATTTTCGGCGAAAATTTATATTAAAAAGAAACAGCACTCTGTCATATTAAACGGTCAAAGTGAACAAATGGCTAGGGGTACTGGTTGTGTAAGAAGGATGTACGGGGATCGTAAAGGATGTCCTTGAGGATGCAAGGTGTTTGGACGAGAAAAATGTGGTCTTCATCACTCGGTAACGAATGATAAAAATGTCGTTTTAGTCTGACTCAGCCAGTGAACTCAAATACTGGAGCGCTCACTCTGTCGGAAGTTTGAAGCCAAGATGGCGGACACTGAAGCCTTCCTTGTAGGTATGATCCAGGCCTCCAGCGCGAAAATTTGGCAGGTAAAATGACGGCAATTATGATTTTCCTTTGAAATTTCCGCGCCAGAGGCCTGCATGGTCATACCTACAAGAAAGGCTTCGTGGATCTTGGCTTCACTCATTAATGAGGGAAAGTCAGAGAGTGAGCGTTCCAGTCTTATTTCAGTTCACTGGACTCAGCCGAGTCTATGAAAACTTCGCCAAACATCAACGAGCATTTTGAAAACTTCACAAACATCAGTTCAGATATTATTCAACCATTTTCATGTTGCCCTTTAAGCGGCAAAATGGTCAAACTGGTCATATTTTAAGTTTAAATGGAGTATTTCGTTAAAAATAAAGAGGTGAAACTGTATTTCCTGCACTAGACAGTTGTAAATAACGACTGATATACTTCAATGCACAGTTCTTATAACGCTCTAAAATACCAGTAATGTGTCTGTACTGAAATTCAACAGGAGCAGTCTGGCAGTTTTTGCCGTATAAAGAAAGCGCTAAATGTTCATTTAACCGTCATTTGCCTGTTTATATTATATAACGTAGCTAGAATTTTGATCACAGAAACTTTGACGATGTAAACGGGGGCTCAAAATTAGCTAATATGAGTGTTGTAATGAGAAGTATAGGGTAGCGCAGAGAAAGTTCTGGGGCCGGTTGTTCAAAAGATATTAGTTAAAAATAGAAAACAGAATTATCTATTTATTGAATAACTGAGCTGAAATATTTCGATGTAAATAGTTATAATATTAAACGCATAAGATGCAGGTTCAGTCATTCACAAGATCTATGAGAGTATTTTTAAACATTGGCTTATCCACCGTTTAAGCTAAACGCCTTTCGAACAACAGGCCCCAGACGTTTGACTTTTAGAGAGAAAAAACGACTTAGTAGCAATTTAGTTTGCAAAATTTAATAGTTCTTACCGTCTCCAAGCCCTGAAATAGCGCTTCCTTCGTATTGACCTGTTGGTGCTTCTAAAAAACGATGCATGAAAACAGAACATATTTAAAAATATTGAAAGGGAAAGTAATGCATCTAAAGCGTCTATATAAATATACGTAGTATCTATACAATGCATAGCATAGGTGCCTTGAAGATAGCCTTAGGAACTAGAAACCCAACATCATCATATATCAATTTCTGTTTAAGATTTATTAAATTTGCAATACGTACAATATAAGCATGCAACAAAAATATCATGAAAATTGCATAACTTTATGATGTAAGGAAACTTAATATTTTTCAAGAAAGCTTTCTTTAACTATCAGCTTAAATTCTTTTGGAGAATGAATTTTAGAGAATGTAGAGAATCCAGTTTAAGGACTCTTCACTAATTTACATATCTTTAAAGTTGAATTGCATTGCAAATTGCAAGAGAAATTGCACAGTGTAATAGGGCCTTTACTCTAATTTATTGAATAATGCATTGGAATAGATGGTCTCTGGCTGCAATATTGATTTTATTCACAGCTCTCGCCTGTCAGAAGAATAAAATATAATGAAAGTGATTGTATTATTTTCAATATCATATACAAACTGTGGTAGCACTTTCGTTTTCATTTCGTGCATCGAAGACTCATATAAACACATAAATCTACTTAAACAAGATCCAAGATGGCGGTCTTGAATTTACAGTTTCTCATAAACGAACTATTTACCAAGAAATTTAAATGTATGCCAAATTGTGTAGTTGAAGCAGCGATGGCGTAAAAAGCCAGTAAGGCAGGTTCTCAAAATAAAATAACCCCTAAACAGTGTGAAATAAATAAACATAACATTTGAATTCCAATTTGATTATGTTTCGGATCAAATTTTAGATATTTAGACAAATATGCAAGGAACTCCCACACATGCATTAAAATTCCTTTCACACGGTGCAGGATTGTCCTCGGAGTAGGTCAAATTGTTAAAATAATAAAAGCAGAGGAGATCTTTCATATCCGAAACCTGAATAAATATGCCAAATCTTAGAAATTAACGAGCATTTGATGATAATGTTTTGAACTCTGTTTGAAATTCAGAGTCTTTATAGCGCTAAATGGAATATAAAGGCTCATGCATACGTATGCTACAGATTAATTGATCACCGCCGATTTTATGATATTTGGCAAACGGTAAGTGTATAGGGCATCATTTCATGCATATACAAAAGCTACATTTGAATCGAGGTTAATAAACATAAAATATGTCACAAAATAAAAACACAAAATGATTTGAAATAATTACTACCACAATAGTTAATGGAAATTTAAGTTGTATATAACCCACAGTTGAGTCTCACCTGCCAAAGCTGAGCCGGAAAATGTAAAAACCAGCAGAGTTAACAAGTCTAACAACATGTCCATGATTTGATTTCAAAAAAACGAAAAGCTTTTCATAAAGAGGTACTTGTATTAGGCAACTTTCTTGTGCTCCGATTATTAGGCAAACCCAGTCCAACCAACATTCAATAAGCGAATGCGCAATTATTCTGAAGTAGTGTTAATAATTTAAATACAGATAATATCGACACTCCATAGGAATTGCTAGTACAATCAGTCTTTTGAAATCGAAATGTTTTTGCAGAAATTAATGTTTAGAAAGCCGTATCATTACGCTCAGCGAACAAAAGAGCAGGGCAGCTTGAGTTCGTGGTAACCTAGTTTGTGTTTGTAAATATTAAAAAAATATCGTAATTTTAACAATGAATTTCAAACACGAATAGCGCTATATTCCGCCTTTAACATTGTTCTCAAATGTTGCAACTATATTGCAATAAATCACAGTTTTTTTACTGTAATATTGAAAGTCATCGGATTTTCGAACGCTTAATGCAGATGCAAATGTAAATTAAAAAGAAGAAGCGAAACGATAAAACGAAATGGTATTCGAGCACAGTTTGAACAAGGAAGTAGGTCACAAAAGTATTTTAACCCATTTGATTTCCGGCAGCGAACGCGCTGGTGGGAAATGCAATTGTTTTGCCAATATCTGTCAAAGCAAGTCTATATATGTGTTCTTGCTGTGTATTTCTACGGAGTAGTATACGATACGAGTGGAATTCACGAAAGGTAATTAGTTATTCACAACAAAATGATACATTGTTATCAATCTTCAATATTGATACATTTGGGCACATATTTCAGTCGGAGAGTCGAAAATATTTATTATTTCTAATATATTCATTTAGTCTGATTCACTGGTGATGACTGCTTTGAAAAAACAAACGAACTTACGAGATTTTAGCAAAATCACGCCTTCAAATGAATGCATGTTAAAAATTTTAAACATTCAAAATGGCGATGATCGATTTCGAAGCTTTTGTGGGCAATTCAGGCTTGGAAGCGTTTGCTAAAAATATAACTTTATGAACCTTAATTATAACATTGCCCAAAAGACATCGTGATAAATGCCTCTGTATAAAAACCAACTGATTTTTCAATACATCCTTAATAGGATCATATAAAATGCTTGTTTAATCTAATGCCATTTACAGATGTAAATCGTGATAATTGCTTCCGCAGAATTCGCCTACGCAAGATGCATGTATTCAATTTAATAGCCCAAAAGTGGGGAACTATTTGCTACAATGCTATTGACTAAAGCTTAGCTTGTTTACTTGGGAAAAATGTGTTTAAATCGTTAAAACACACGGATATATATATATACGACACAAGATATTTTAAAAGCTAAGACAATTGGAACTGATTTCGAACATGCAATAATTGCAGTCGGGTTGAATTCTTTCATTCAATTAACACCAATCGGGAATTCAATGTTTTAAGAGTGACACAGCGAGACATCGTGATTGCCAAACAGAATTTAAAAGAAATCTTTATACTCCGACGACGGCAATTAACACTTGTCCTTGATAAAAAAATAATAAAACTTAGGTAAAAACATTAAATAAAATTGGGAAACAAGCCAACACTATCCAAACCATAGTTTGCTGGCGATTTTTTTAAACTCAGCGGCCTTGATCAACATGAATTTAACTTATTGAATTTTTTTTGGTGGTCTAGTTTGTCCGACTGGTGGCCAGCCAGCCGTTTTAAATGATTAATGATAATGTAAATAATGAACAAATATTTAGTTATTGTAAATATTTAGTGGTGGTGTCTTCTAGCAAGATTCCTTAACAATTCTCAAGTTGACGGTGTAAATCGAATTTTCTCACATTAAATTCGATGCGAACTTGGCTCACGTCTTTTAAGACAAAATGGCTTTATGTTGGTCCTTCAAAATCAATTGCTGTGTCGAAGTCATTGTGTACATAAAGCTTTTTGTTTGAACCGGTGGATACAGTTGCACAAGTTGTCTTGACACGAAATTTACAGCAGGATATATTAGATTTTATGATTTAATTTCTACGCTGCAAGATAGAGCAGTTGTTTAGCTTTCCAATGATACCTTTCCTCAGTTCATTACAACGAGAAATGATCAAATATTTTTCAAATGAAAATTAGCGATTCAAATTTGCCCAAAGAAAGCTAATTTGAATATATTTGACCTTTGATGCGTGTAAGCGCAAATAAGATTGTCAATTTCAAACGGTGAAAGAATGTCGTTTTCGACGGAAAGTTTCCCCAGTTGTGATGACATAAAAAGGTATTCTTAGCCTCAATATTGAATGCATTACGGCAGGTTAAAGAGGTGATTTGTTGATATTGTGTTTACCTTTTCTTTTGAAATGCGATGAACTCGCTTCTAAATATATAGTTTCAATGAAATAACTATCATTTTTACACTTACATTTGCACAGGGTGCATCAAAAAAAGAAAAACTTTATAATAATTCCCAGGGGCCTACAAGCTTTTGTTATTGAGTAGAAGCGAACATATGTATGAGTATTATTAAGTGTAGCCGTTTTTTTATACAACCTATATATACAAGGTGTATTAAAAAAAGAAAAACTTTATAATAATTCCCAGGGGCCTACAAGCTTTTGTTATTGAATAGAAGCGAACATATGTATGAGTATTATTAAGAGTAGCCGTTTTTTTATACAACCTATATACAAGGTATATTAAAAAAAGAACAAATTTATAATAATTCCCAGGGGCCTACAAGCTTTTGTTATTGAATAGAAGCGAACATATGTATGAGTATTAAGTGTAGTCGTTTGTATATACGACCTATATAGTACACAAGGTGTATAAAAAACTGCAAATACTATAATTTTTGACTGCACGTTATGAGACATCAAAATTTCCATTGCTGTGCAACTGACATCGCCGAATTCTCGATACTAAGGCTTCAAACTTGGTGAAAAAAGATTCATAGATACTACACAAAATATGTCTTGCACAAAAGATTTGAAGCTTGCACACGGCAAAAAACGAATCGTCTGAATTAATAACCTTGTGTGTACTTCAAGCCTCAAAACGGCCATTTCACAGCTGTCAGATGTGTATGATGAGCTGTCAAAAGATTGCAGAGTGCGTATTTGGAAGAAAAACCGAAGTTTTTAAACTTGTTCAATAGTTTTTTCTTTGATAGCGATACAGCAATGCACATACGTTTCCCAGAGTTGTGAAGAAAAGCACACGAAAATGGATTAAACTTATGAGTTCCATTACGAATGGCTCAGTTAAAAACAGAACAAAGAGGAATTCTTGTTTTAAACGTATACGAGCAAACATAAATTCACTTGGTGTGGTTATTTTGATAGTATACCGCATGTGGAAATGTATTTTCAACCCCCAAAAGCGTGATTAGTTGTACAGCCGATACAAATCAGTACGGTATTTGCAGTTTCGAAAGCATGCAGTATGTTCTATATATACTTTATTATTATGGTATAGATCGAACGTCGAACTTTCTAGGTTGTTATCTTATTAGCTATCATTTCAAGGATATAATTACGCCAATCATTGTTATTACACATTCTACAAATATCTCAGCTATCTTAACTCTTAGCCAGACTCTTTAAGTATTTCATTCAATATCTAACTGTTTATTTATAAAAGTCTATGTCAACAACAGTTAATATCGTGACTTATATCTTAACTCTTAGCCAGACTCTTTAAGTATTTCATTCAATATCTAACTGTTTATTTATAAAAGTCTATGTCGAACAACAGTTAATATCGTGAATTATATCTTAACTCTTAGCCAGACTCTTTAAGTAAGTATTTCATTCAATATCTAACTGTTTATTTATAAAAGTCTATGTCTAACAACAGTTAATATCGTGACTTATATTATCTCGAGGCTGTCAGGGTGACATTCACTCTTAGCAAAGCCTGGATAGATTGGCTCGATTTACACTTAAAGACGGAGCATCTGTCCGGACGAACTTGGGAAGCGAAAGATAGTTCGTCTGCTAGTCCGTCTGTGCATGTGAGTTACGTCTTCGAGTTCGTTATAATGTTTATAATTTTCATTATTTACATTGTACGTCGAATTTTCTAGCTGGATGTAATCTGATTGCATAATTCTGAGTATTTCATTCAATATAACTGTTTATTAAAAAGTTCTAGAAATGTTAAGTCGATCGATAAGATATTGTCCAAAACCCCTCATAGATATCGTAATTTATACATTCAAAGGCTGCCATGGTAATATTCGAATCTTAGATAAGTCGGAAACAGATTGTTTACAATTGCGATATCAAAGAAAGTTGATTGTATTCAGGTTCCAATTCACTCGTCAGGTAAACGTTATCATGAAAGCGAACACACAACGCGACGCGATTTTTAGGATTTTTTATTTTTCAAAAGCAAAACAAAGTTTGATGATGTCGTTATATTCTTGATAATTACTCAAGGGTACCATATCTTGACATGTTTGGGGCCAATGGCTCTAGCTCTCAAAAATTCCTTCCAGAATTTATTTAGTTTACTTTAATCAGTTTGGGTCTCGTTCACAAATCCCGTCCGGTGGGTGTGGGCTAGAATAAAGGACTTTCTACTGAGCAGTTTAATTGCGTGTTTAATCATACGAGTTCCCCCCCCCCAGAAAGCTATACTTTGGGATCTTTTACCGACTGATGAAGTCGGCAAAAGTGCAAACACAAAAGTGAAGGTAATTATAACAATATAACCCAGTCTGAGTCATGTAGTATTTCGACATAATAATGTGAAATTGATTAACGAGATGGATTTCAGAATTCGAACGCGTTGTGGGCTAGGAGGATAAAGCGTTGTGGGCTAGGATAAAGGACTTTCTACTGAGAAGTTTGCGTGTTTAATTTTACGGTTCCCCCCCCCGGAAAGCTATAGTTTGGAATTTTTTACCGACTGGTAAAGTCGGCAAAAGTGCAAACACAAAAATGAAGGTAATTTACGGAACAATATAACCCAGTCTGAGTCAGGTAGTATTTCGACATAATAATGTGAAATTGATTAACGAGATGGATTTCAGAATTCGAACGCGTTCCCTATGAATGGACGACTTGCGCTTTAGACTAACTTTTGATGGAAGTAACTAGAGGAAAATAAATCACCC